CTCAGATCATCGAGCTTGGTGGCACCGTCATCTCCCTCCGTGATAGCAAGGGTGCTCTCATCGCTGAGGATGACAAGGGCTTCACCCCCGAGATCATCAACCAGATCGCCGCTCTCAAGCTCGAGTCGCAAGGCCCTGACTGCGCTTGACAACCACAGCTTCCGCTGGGTTGAGGGTGCCCGCCCATGGAAGGAAGTCAGCAAGGTCGACATTGCTCTTCCTTCAGCGACCCAGAACGAGGTTTCTGAGGATGAGGCCAAGGCTCTCATTGCGTCCGGCGCCAAGTTCATTGCCGAGGGCTCCAACATGGGCTGCACACAGGAGGCCATTGAGGTCTTCGAGGCTCACCGTCGCGAGAAGAAGGGCGAGGCCATCTGGTACGCACCCGGAAAGGCCGCCAACGCCGGTGGTGTCGCCGTCTCCGGTCTCGAGATGGCGCAGAACTCCCAGCGTCTATCATGGACTGCTGAGGAAGTCGACGAGAAGCTCAAGGGCATCATGAAGCAGTGCTTCGAGAACTGCCTCGAGACCGCCAAGGAGTACATCACCCCAGCTGAGGGTGAGTTCCCATCTCTCGTCGGCGGTGCCAACGTCGCCGGCTTCCGCAAGGTCGCTGCCGCCATGCAGGCCCAGGGTGACTGGTGGTGAACGGCTCGCTTTTGAGCACGGCAAAGACCTTTTTTCTACATGATACCTCACGATACCTTCATTTTGGCTTGGCGTTTTAGGATGAACTGGATGCGCACATGCCTCTTGTAAATAGATACCAAACAATTCTAAGAATGACAAACTTGACACAATTTGCACATAGTCGCGAGCTTCTTCACGTTTTTCTCGTTCTGGAAGTCTAAAGTTCTCATCCCCCACTTCCCGAGTTACGTCACCACTTGACCATCTCACACACATCCATCTGATAAGATCTCGCAACTCAACTCCGCGACTATTCCAACCGCGACCAAGCCCGCCATCCGCCAAAAAAAAAAGCAAAAGCCCGGAAAACAAAAAAACTTCCCCCCTCCCGTATCTCACGGATATTTGTTTCCGCCGCCTCTTTGCCGCTTGGAGTTAGCGCGTGACACATCGCATCGTCGCCGCCGTGGTACGAGTTACTCGATGCCTACACCTGAGATCAACTATGCGGCGAGGGCGTTGAGCTGGCGCGGCGCGGCGGCGCGCGTGGGCGGGCCGAGAACGGTGGTCGATGTCGGAGCGGATGGAGTCGGGTTGTGCAGGAGGTGTCGGGTGGGGTAGGGATGGTGGGAGACGGCACGTGAGGAAGCCATGATATGGAAGACGGGTAGTGAAATCTGATTCTTGTGTACCTATGCTTGTTTAAGTCGCCATCAGAGTAATGTGTGCGCAATGAAAGCGCGATCAACCATGTCTATCTCTATGTCGAGCCCCATCGCTGTCCTTGAACTGGTCGTACTCCTCATTCTGGTTCATCGGGATGCTCTGAAATACGGACATGCTTCACGCTCTTGGTCAGAATCATGACGGTGATAGTCACAGGTCATCATGCCCTTGTCGGCGAGTCCCCCGTTGTACTCATAATTGCGGGTCATGACCCTGATGAAGAATTTTTGCTCGGAACTAGTTCTCGCGCTTCCAACTCTTCCGGCTCATCGTCTTCTGGGGCCCAGAAATTGCACTGTAGATCGATAATGCACTCGAGTAGCAAGACGTCTTCGCCCAAGTTGTCAAAAGCGTACTTGATACATTCGTAGTGTACTCGGCCGTGGACGGCCAGGTTGACGAACAGGTTGTGCACATCCTTGCGAAATCCAGTCGCCAGAAATCTGTCGCCAAAGATAGAGGCTTTGAGGAGGATGATGTCGAGTTCTCTCTCTTGGTCCAACGCTCCATTCTTACTAGACTCATCTCTCTTTACTATAGCGATCTGAACCAAGTCTTTCGCAGTGCCTGGCAGTCCAGTAGTGTAGATCCAATGGACGAAGAGGTTGAACACTTCTGCCTCAACAAAGTCGAGCGCTACGCCATCTTGGGCTTCCTTCCAGCGTCCGTTGTAAGCCGCCCGAAAGTACTCGGAATGATGACAGATGAGGTCCTTGTGGACGTGGTAGATCTTTTGATCGATGCCAATCGAGATTGCGACAACCTCACCAAGCGCAGCAAGGCTAAGAGAAGTCAGTCAAGTGTTTCCATATGGTTGTTGTGGCTTTCATACCCCAAGACCGGCGCGGCTGTCGATTTCTGGACTCCTTCAGTCATGCTCGTGAGCATTTGACTTTGCCAGAGTTGGTATAAAGTACCAGTGTAGTGTTGCATTGAAATATATAGCTGCCGCAACTCCCTGTTTGCAGCGTGGCGCTTAGCGTCAGGTGAGAGATGAAGTGAGTGTGAATGCCAGTTCACCGCTCACTATCACTTTGACTAGATGAAATGCGACTTCACCATGTTCAGCCAAGTAAATTTATGATTAAGATTAAGCAATACTGTGAGTCTGAGAACTGTTAAGCATTGTCGTCATCTTCAAAGAGACTGTACAACTAATTGCTCGGACAGCTCTTTCTTCGGATAGCTGCCGATCAACTGAGTGTTTACCTGAGATGGTTACTCAAACTCTGTCGAACACTAGTGCATTTGACTTATCCACGTCGTTTTCGTAGACGATGAGGCGGTTCGAAGATGCTTTAACATGAAGTGGAGAGCATGGCGTGGATGCATCATCTAGAGCGAACAGTGCTACAAAATTGCAAGGGCGAGTGAAGAATGCGGGTGGGAAGGATAGACGTTGTGAGGCGATGATGGTCCGGATCTGTCTGAGCTGAATCAAGATGTCGGGGGATCAACAGGTACAACCCTCCTATTTTCGTTTTAAATTTCCGCAACTCGTACATGCACTCTCTCGAACAGGCCACAAGTCTCTGGCTCAGCGTTATAGCTGCAAATTCGCAGAAAGCTAACCAATACCAATATAATATTGGAGATGTTTCGTGTGTTTGGTAAATGTATTTATAGTGGAGTCGAATTGATATGGGAAGGCTTATGCACATCTGCAAACACAGTTCCAGATGGAGCAGAAAATGCTCAAGTTATCTGGGAATCACCTGCGTGGTATCGGGATTCGAGGCAGTGTTATAGCCGATCCGACTGAAGAAGTGGGGCGTGTTGTCAGGGTTGATGACGTCGTACCAGAGAAGGCGCAGCCCTAACCACAGCACCAAGAGGCCAGACCGGCAATATCGACCAATGAGAGAAAGTCTCATCGAAGCGATTCAGCCTCATCGGTTGTAAGGCCTCTGGTGCTAGAGCAAATCCGGGACTATCTGTGGCCAAGACCCCATTCAGGTCAGGCCGCCAACTAGTAGGCTGTGCATGTCACTGCCAGCATGCTACTTTGGCACTTCGAGGCCTCCACAGTCGATACTTAAAGTCAAAAGACAAGCGCTCTTTCATTGTGGAAACACACATCAAGTTTCACTAACTCAAACATACACAACTTAATTTAAAAATGTTGCAATTTCAAGAAGCAATCCAAAGCAGGAATCCACCAGTCAATCCTTCGGTCAAACTGGCGCAAGAAAATGCTGCATCGCAACCGGTATCACATCCTCTTGATACGAACGACCACGCAGACACCTCCCAGCTTCCAGATAGCCCAATCCAGCATTTCGATACACCAAAAGGCCTGACTCTCCAAGTTGATTTCGCATGGTCCAAATTCCGCAACATCGTCAGCGAGAAGAATGGCGACCAACTCACACCACTTTACATTCAACACTTCCGACCCACCAAGCCTCAACTACGATTCGAAACCGCCCGCGATAATGTCAACATCGCATCCGGCACCATCAAGAACATCTCCATCAGCGCGGAGTGCGAACTCAACGGCAAAACCGTTGAGTTGAAACCTCTCGCGAGATGGAAAACAAAGTACAACTATCTCTCCACCACCCTATCCCCAGACAACTCTCCCGTAGCAATATCATGGATCACCAGTTCATCCATGAAGATCTGGGACTTCATCTGCGTCGATGCGAATCAGATCGCTATTGCGAAGTTTTCCGTCAATATATGGGCGATGAAGCAAGTTGGCAATTTCCATTTCGAGAAGAGTGCGGAGGCAATTAGCAAGGAAGCTAGAGACGAGATTGTTGTGATGGGTTTGACGCTGATGTATGTTATGGTATGTAGGATGAACAACCCGTTGAATTTGCTGGGCAGCGTGTTTGCGAAGCCGGGGAGGGTGGATGATGGGAAGGGTGGGGATGTGGAGTTGCAAAATAGGAAGGATAGGTAGATGACGGGGATAGTCATGAAGTTTTGTTAGCAGTGTTTCCTTTTGTCTTTCGATGAAAATCCATGATGATACACAATTGATCCAATCATTATTTGCAATTTATCTGAGAATTGAGGTACTGATGCGAACATGCACTTTGCCATGAAACTGACTGCTGTTCTCAGAAAACAATCTCTCCTATACATATTCAGGAGACTAATGGCACCGACTTCAAGTGCTCCTGCGACCATATGTCTCGGTCACTCGCACATCCTATCCTCGTTCTCAAGCACGCTATCTCACTACATCCCCCTACGCACCCCCACATCCCCACCGCTCCTCCTCCGTCGCATGAACATGGAACTCACACGCCTTGACCGGCGGCCCCGCCAATAAATCCACAAACCTGAACCCCTTATTCTCCACCCGCGCACAAAACGCCTCAGGCACTACTCCTCGCACGCGCATCTCCTGCGCATTCCACGTGCCCCATACGCAATGCATCTCCGCAAAGAAGTCCAGCAATACATGATCTGCCGCCAATTCTTCAAACGCAAAGCACACCTCCTCATCGCTCGGTGCCTTGCGCTTCGCGATCATGAGGTCCACGAGTTTGTTGTGCACGGCGACTTGGAAGGCGGGTGCGGTGAAGTTGTATCCGAATGCGACAGCTTTGAGTAGGATGTCTTTGCTCAGTGTAGTCGAGGAAAGGACACCGGTATTTAGCCAGTCGATGAATGTGTTGAAAGTGGTAATGTCGGCGTTCATCTTTGGAGATATGGAGTCCATGAAGGCGCGCTCGAAGGATGCGGAGAAGTGGCATATGATGGCCTTATGGATTTGGTAGGTCAGGGTGGTTGTGCCGATGTCGATTTTGATGGTGACAATGGGGCCTTGAGCGGCGGAGCTAAAGGAGGGCGCGGTTGAGCGGGCGGACATGGATATTGAGATTGAAAGGGTTGATGGTTGAATGTTGATGTTCAATAATAGTTGTGGATGTGCTTGGAGAGGGGTAGGTATGATGTATCGATGAGTAGGTGTTTTATGATATAAGGCAAACAGGGTGAATGTACGGGCGTTGTACATGCTGTTGCCTGAGCTGCATACAACACGTAAGAAGAGAGTCGCAGATTCATGGTTCACTCGTGGCCATTACTGCGAATAAGGCCTTTCACTCAAAGATACGCTGGATGCTGTGCTAATTCAGCACCAATCTGAGTGTCCTACTTATGTGCTTCAAGTCGCTCACCACTTCCCGCGCTCCTTTGCTGGTTCTGCATTTTCTCTTGGTTAGGCCCAGGCACTAGACCCCAAGGACCTTTACCGATTGCATCGCCCTTGTGCTTGATCCACAAGCCGACGCAGATAGGTCCGATAATTGTATTGAGAAGAATGGCCCATATAGCTGTGATGAAACCTTCCGAAGATACGTATGACGTATTGTTGTAACCGATTTCAACAATCAGCAATCCGATTTCTCCACGAGCAACCATTGCCATTCCAAGGAGCAAACCAGGCGAAAGTGATGACTTCAGTGCGGCACTACGAGTAGGAGAATATGGCGATGAAGTGGTTTTCCTCAGGGCCTGGCCGTTCTCTGCATTGCGTTCCTCTTGAGCAACCTGGTCCGCTTTTTGCGGATCGTGTTCGACATTGGACCAGATCGGAATCCATGCTCCCACGATGAACTTGGCGAATAACATCAGCAGAGTATACACGAATCCTCTCCAGATTGCTTTGCCCGTCCACAGATCCAAGAAAGGGATGGCAAAACCAATGCTTGCGAAGAAGAGTGGCTCTAAGACGTATTGCTGCGGGTCCAAACAGTAGCATTCGAACGTGTGAACGAATGTAGGCGACTTGTGCTTCTCACGTTCGCCTTCTTCTCGGCTCATGACTACGAATGGTCCTTCGGGATGTTTCGACGGTAAATAAGTGAGGAAAGCTCCAGCGAGAAAGGCTCCAAATAGTATAGAGGTGCCAGCGTATGCAGCGATCGATATGAAAGCAGATAAGGCAAGTATCATTAGCATGATATTCGACAAATGATCGAACTTGGCGAATTTGCGTTCGATAAACTTGCGGAAGACCGGCGCGAAGAACCATTTTGTGAGCACTGGCGTGAGGATTGCCATCGCAACGGAAGCGACTATCGGCCGACCTATAAGCCATCCAAGGTTGACATCGCTATCACCAGATATCGAGCCCAGATCATGGATGACACTGCTCATGACCAGACCGGTCACATCGTCAATCACCGCAGCGCTGACGAGCACCGCACCCACACGCGTCTGAGCCAAGTCCACACTCTTCGATGCACTTGCGATGACAGCAAACGTCGTCCCCAAACTAGTCGCACTCAGGGCGGCACCGATGATGAAAGTCTCCACAGCGCCATAGCCAAAACCTAGGTACAGTAGCAGGTAACTGAGTCCAATTGGGAAAAGTACACCAGTGGCAGCGCCCAACATAGACAGTGTAAAATTCGCCTTCAACAAGTCGATGCGGGCTGATAGACCGCCCTCGAATATGATCAGGATCAGTCCGATGTACCCCAAATACAAGAAGGTCTCCTGCCAGTCATGATGGAGAATATCCGACAATGGCTGACCATAGACGATGCCGACGGCTATGGGTCCAATGATGCCGGCGCGGATGACCTTGGCAGACAAGTATTCGGAAATCCAAAGGAAGGTGAAGAATGAGACCAGGATGAGGATGTCCACAACTTTCGGCTATATTAGTAGATGTTGGCAAATTTCTGAAGACTGGCACGTTGTTATAAAAGGGAGGTGAGCTTACTTCCTGGCTCGTGATACTGGAGGAATGGAGCTGTCATTGATCACGATCTCGAAAGTGTTGTTGTGTCGTATGTCTTAATACACAGGTTCGAAATTGCCTAGATACAACGTACGGCGGAATAGTAGAAGAATCTGGCGTGACGTCATCCTCAACAAGACTACCGGTGCCACAATTTTTCGAGCTTACTTAGCTCCTTCTTCATGACCCCTTGATGACCTCAAGATGCACAAGCTCTTCTTTCAACCTTGCAACCGGTCGTGAAGCGATTCCAAGCCTGCACACCACGGCTCCATTTCTTTACGGTCGACACAAAGCGAGACCTCATGCGTCAATGAGTCTCGGTCGCTCAGAGTCACGAAATCTCAGTTCGTCGTGCACTCAGCTTGACATGTCTAAGAGATACACATGGGCCAACGTAACTCACTTATAGAAGCTGGGGAAAAAAACATGTGAAAAAGGGGAGAAATTGATTGAGTGTGTTGATCTTCGGAGTTTTGTCCCAGCGGACTTGGCGGCTTGGCGCCCGGTCTCTGACATCTCGAGCCTTACACCCCAGACATTATACCACCTCCTCCGCAGCCGTGTCACCTACAATGCCTGATTATCTACCATCATAGCGTACGTATATAGAATGAACGAATGTTTTGCCCACTTCCGTGAATCAACACAGTCCGGATATCAGCCTTGAGCAATCATCCCACGCGAACCTTAACATGGGATAGAACTCGCAAAAGTCCTTGATAGAGTCTTCTCCGAAGTGTTTCCAACCTTGGCAATGCTTTTTGAGAAAGCTGGTCCCAAGATTCCAAGGCTGGATAACATTTCCCACTAGCATCGGCTGAAACGTTGAGCCTCATTCGTTTTCGCGGCACGTTCTTAGTTGCGAACGCGTTGTCATGACATAGCGAATCAGAGACTCAGTGTCCCTGCGCTGGGCGGTTTACTATCGCTCAAATTAGTACCCCCAAGGCATGGCATCGCTCAAGATGGTATTTCTGAGGCACCGTATGCACGATCTCGATAGCCGCCAAGTGCCCAGCTGCCATCCAAGGTCGATCCGCGTGCCGATTATCCGGACGAGGCCATAACACTCACAACTTGGCTATGTATGCTTGACAACATGCGTATGCCCAGAAGAATTGCAGTGCTGTGAGTTTCAGCATGCGGACTCTGAAGGGCTGTGTGTCATGTGCTACAGATGAATCGTCACCTTACGAGGAAAGATTGGCGCGCAAGTCCGCCCATGCTTGCAAATGTGTTTTGACGTATCAACGTGCTGGCTGGGCTGTCTGGCTTTGATTCAAAGACCGCGTATGCCAGTCAGGAAGGCTTATTTGAACTAGGTCTGGCACTTCATTTCACTTCTTCTGCTAGCTCAGCCTCATTTCTGATGAGCACTGATCGAATTTTCTCCTTCTCTTTTAGCTTCTCTGTGAATTGGGAGTTACGGTGCTGACCTGGCTGGACCATTTCTTAACGATCCATCCTATCTTCGATATCCCTCTTTCATACTGCGTTCCTTCGACACTACTTATAGACAGGAGTTGGGAGGCTTCTTGTTGTGAGCACAGGAGCTGAAAGAAAGTTTTGCAGTCATGCCTACTCTCGATGTCAGCGAGTTGAACGTTGTTATCGCCGTTTTGGGTATGTCTTCGCGAATCAAGGAGATGGACTTGGTTCTAACTCATCAGGCGCGTTCATTCTTGCATATGGCTTCATATCAGTGAAGATCAAGCAATTATGGTACTTAGGTGAAGCCCGTAAGTACAGCCAATCATGTGGCGCTAAGGACATTGTTACTGATAACGCTAGTACCGGCTGTGATGCTGGGGATCATACTTGGGCCGATAGCAGCAAAATTTCTAGACGCAGAACGGTGGGGGTCTGGTGTTGAGGGCCAGCAGGAGGCTATCACGCTGGTAAGTAATACTTGTATCATTATTGAGGTTAAGAGCAACGTTTGCGCACGGCATCTAGTCTTGCTGTCGGTATACAGTCAGTCTCGCTAACTGACATGCGATGACAGGGAATGTGCCGAATTGTTATAGGTGTACAACTGGTAATTGCCGGATTTCAACTGCCTGCGAAGTATCAACAAGCCAACTGGAGGGAGATGGCCTTGTGCTTACTTCCAGTCATGACCATCATGTGGCTCTGCACTAGCTTGTGCATTCTGGTCGTGATTCCCAAGATGACCTTCCTCACTGCGCTTGTCATCGGTTCTTGCGTCACTTGCACCGATCCAATTTTATCGCAGGCCGTTGCTAAAGGTCCTTTCTCTGACAAGTTCGTTCCACGAGCGCTTCGCGAGATTATTTCCTCCGAAGCTGGTGCCAATGATGGCTTTGGCTTTCCTTTTCTGCTGTAGGTCCTTGATTCCGAAAACTCAAATAGATTGGGAGAATTGACAATCATAGATTGGCTACATACCTGATTCGCCATGCCGATCTTGCTGGCGTTAGGTTCAAGGAAGGTGTATCGGCGGCCGTAGAGGGTGCTCCGCATCTCCTCAAGCGTAGTGGGGAAGCAGGCATTGGGCGTCTTGGAGGCGGACTACCAAAAGCCATGGAACAATGGGTTGTCGAAGGTTGGCTCTATATCATTGCCATGGCTGTCGCCATTGGTGTCATTATCGGAGTGGGCAGCCTATTTGCCATCAAGTTTGGTTTGCGACGGAAGTGGATTGATTCAGAAAGCTTGCTGCTCTGGCCCACTGCCGTTGGAGTGAGTTACTATCCAGATCAGAACACGCACAAATCCTATGGCTAATATCACGGTTCTAGCTCTTCACAATCGGCGTGTGTGGCGCGCTCGGTACAGACGACCTCCTGGCCTGCTTTGTTGCAGGGAACGTTATCAACTGGAACGGCCTGTACCTTGAGGAAACCGAGAAGCGACATGACGAAGTCAACAGCTGTGTGGATGTCCTGTTGAACTTTGGCGGCTTCATGTACATCGGTACAATATTTCCTTGGCGTGAATTTCACATGCCGGATGTCACCGGTATCACAATTGGTCGACTGTTCATTCTCGGCTTCCTAATTGTCCTGTTCCGTCGTATACCAGCCATCTTTTTGACATATAAGCTGATGCCGCGCTGTGTCAAGGGTTGGAAGGAGGCGCTCTTTATGGGATATTTTGGCCCAATTGGTCAGTGAACGATTCTAGAATTCATCAGAAATAATGCTAATGTTTGCCAGGCATCGGTGCTGTCTTCTACGTCGAGCATACCCGTCACCTTTTCCCCAAGGCTGGTGAAGCTATGACCGAAGAAGAAGACCATTTGACCCAAGCTATGGGACCTGTCGTTTATTGGCTCGTACTCTTCTCCATCATATGGCACGGTCTCTCGATTCCCGCCCTAGACGCTTTCTACCGGTACAAGGGCGTCCAACCCATCATCGAAGAAGAACCAGCTGAAATCCACGTCTTATCCGAAAACGATGCTCTCCCGGCCAACGCCTACGGCAATCCAAAGCGCAAGTCTGTCATCGTGCACAACCGCTTTTCGCGACCATTTTCTACTGGTCCAGGGCCTGAGCTGTATAGGTGGCACTCGGATGAGAGTGTAGCGACACTCACAACGCATGCCCAATCTCCCGGAGTCGAGCACAAAATTTAAAGTTTATTAGGAAGTGGGAAATACCAATAGGAGTATTACTAGCCTACGCACTGTCTCTACCGTTCAAGAAATTAAAACCTGTCGTTCACTACCAATCACAACCTTCTCTCATGTAGCATCGAAACATGACTATCATGATTCACGACTTGGTGAATCACCGTGACTTCTCGATATCCCGAACGTTATGCAACAATAATGACATGTGTTTGTACAAAAGAAAGCTTCGAGTAGGGGTCGACGTTGTTGGAAGCTTAACAATGCTGGGTGATGGCAACGTAAGCAGGTTCACGTACAAAGTTCACAGCTGACGAATAAACAAATTGCCTTCTCTCTATAGTCTATACTACTGAAAGAACAAAGAAAAGGAGCTTGCATGTCCATATCGCATGCTCCCTAAAGTATTCCTCCTGCAGCGTAGTCTCATTGGAAGGTCAATCTAATGACGGACATCTAGAAATGTGGTGTGTTCAGAGCCATGACCATGAGCAGTCCGGCGATCAGTCCAGCACTTGGAAGTGTAATGATCCATGACGAGAAGATAAAAGCAATCTGCTTCCAGTTGACGGCGCGGATATCGAAGTTGCAAAGGGCGACACCGATAGTAGCTCCGGTCAAGCATTGTGTTGTGGAGACCGGAAGACCGAGACGACTGGCGAGAAGAACAGTGATTGCAGCGCCGAGCTCCATGGCGAAACCACGAGTAGGCGAGACCTGGGTGATCTTGTTTCCAAGGGAGCGCATGACGTTGAAGCCGTAAACTGGTTGGAGAGTTAGTGAAAGTTTAGACAATCGGGTTTGAGGAAGAACTTACTCCAGAAACCAATACCGAGCAGGAGCCCAGCAATGACAAGGATCCAGATGGGAGTATCGGCCTTGGATGTCACCTCACCACTCTCGTAAGTGTTGTAGGAAGCAACCCAAGGACCCACAGCGTTGGCAACATCGTTACTGCCGTGCGCAATGGACATCATCATCGCAGAAGCAACCTGAGCGTAGGTCCATAGATGTTCAGTCTTGTTATCGTAAACAATCGCGCGGGCGTGGACAGCGCCAAGGTTCTTCTGGGTGACGACGTCGCGGGCAACACCTTGTAAGAAAAGATACTTAGCCCAGTTGCCAATTTTCTTGGGGGAATAGAAGGGTAGGTGTTTGACAGGGTGCAGCCAGCGTTCTTCAGGCTCTGGCTTTGCTACAATAACGTGCGCGGCAAGAGCTGATTGTGGGTTGCGAGCATGGAGACCGTCGTTACTGTTAGCTTCGACAGCGCTAGAGGAGCCATGCTCACTACCCGCAGTATCCTTGGGGTTGATGATGGTGGAATTATCTTGTGCCTTCTTCAAGTCGGCCTTCTCCATGTCGTTGTCGGTAGTGTCAACCGATGACTTTGCGTAATAGTCGGTTACAACCATATCACCCTTACCCGGCCAGTAGACCGGGGGGTTCTCTCGATATAGAAGAGGTCCGAGAGGAATGTGCCATACACGCATGCGAGCATCGTTCTTAATCAGGCGACGGTGGAAGTAAGGGACGAAGAAGATATAGCTGATGGCCAGTACACCAACAGAAACTCCAAGGATGATACCGGACACTTTGCCAGCACCCATTTCTTCGAAAGACGGGGCGTTTGGTAACTCATCAAGGATGAATAGAGCAAGCATACCAGCAGTGAACGCGAGGTACCATGGAATGAGGCGAAGACCCCACTTCAGCGGGTCCTTCCTCTCAAGAACGGCGTACTTGACAGTGAGGAACAAGGCGGCGGAGATACCGGCAGCGATCAAAGGAGCGATGGCCCAAGATGCGGCAATTTGAGACAGGGAGCCACTGGACCAAGCCCACTTGAGAGGGGTTTGGGCGGCGATACCTGCACCTGCAAGCGCACCAACGACTGTTTGAGTAGTAGAGACAGGCATTCTAGATGAGTTAGTACTCGGTAATGATCTTGGCCTAAGGAAGTCCTACCCATAGAAAGTGGCAATAGTGAGGAAAGTAGCACTTCCAACTTCAGCGCAACCCATGACCAGCATAAAGGTTGCAGGAGCCGGTGCGAACTTGTCGGGTCCAAAGACTCCTGACTTGATGGTAGAAGTAACTTTTGAACCTAATGCGACAGCTCCAAGGAATTCCGTGAAGCATGCCAGAATACCGGCTTGCCACATCTTCAATGTCCTGGCGGCGACTGACGTTGCGTACGAGTTGGCGACATCATTGGCTCCATTGGATGCTGATGAAAAGATAAAGGCGATGGTGGTAAGTGCTAGAATCCAGCTGTACTTTTGAAGTACTGGTGCCATCTTGGAAAGACACTCAAAGGAGTGTCAAGTGAGGAGTAGTTGATGGTTTGATGCTATAACTCTGACCAGGCTCGAGTTCTTAAAGGTCTGCAGTAGCACGACCCTGTGTGAGATGATTGTCCACACGCAAAAGAAAGTAGAGAAAATGTCCTAAGGGGCGAATGATGGTGTGAGCACAACAGGTGCTGGAGCCTACGGTTTTATCATAAAAGAGCACGTGGTTAGGAGAGCGATCTCTATGGACTCCTGAACAAGGTCCATTATCCACAATGGCGACTCAACGGGACCAATCGATGAAATTTCGAGAAGGCCAAGGTAATCGCATGTCATTTCATCGGACTTAGAGTCTTGAGTGTCTTGGACAGATCCGCGAGAGAATCTTGTTGCCTCCCGAGAAGCCACTTCTGACGGCTTGTCCGCGTTGACAGCATCAAAGCTGTTACAAATTCAGCGAACCAGAGTTAAAGGATGAGAAACGTGGGCAGTCTCAGGGTCAACTGTGGAGGGCGGAGACGCCAAGGAGGAAAGTGTTGGCGGGCACTTGGCTGTGGCCTTGCTCGAAAATCCCGCTTCATGGACCCTGCCGTCTTCGGGTAAGCGGCACATGGTGTCCAAAGATAGCAAGCGCAACCAGAAATGCTATTCGTTTGGTTTTGAGTTCGTTGACAGGTCCAGAAGTCGTCTGTACTACTTCAAGTGCGGCGCGCGCAGCGAAATATCGTTCCTGGCAATGTTCTCCACCAGCTCCATACTGAGAACACGGCTGGACGTGACTCGCCAGGGGCTAGTGTGTGGTCGCGTGCTCACTTGCTGCTTCAAGTGGGTATGGGAATGTGGGCGGACGATTTTGCCCAGCAAACTAACGTCATGCGCGTTAGGTAAGCGATCTTCTTCCCCAGTTTGGGCAAGGCTTGCTGTTGTGTAATTGCGCGTCCGATCATCTTGCCAAGTTGACAACACTGTATCAGACGCATTCACAAGACGGTGTTCCCAGCGTATGCAGATACTGAAACGACGATTATCTAGTCGTACGATGACAAGAAGGCTTGCAGTAGAAGAGGAGGCTTGAGACAAACCAAGGCTCCTGAGAGTGACAGTGATCAGGACGTGAATTATTCGCCCAGCGATAAGCGCGGCTATGGTACAAGAAGATTTCCCTGAGCGCAGAATAAACCAGTGAGGTGGATTGCGACTCCGTCCCGCCACCCCCAGGCGCATCAACGCGGGGAGAGAGCCCCCTCTAACACTGCAGGGATGAACCTCACACATACAGATCAATATTTACATCTCTCTATTCATGAAGATTCGCAATGTGTTCTGCTCGCAATCCCTGCACTCGAGCTTGACTAAAGCGCCCTGTGGATTGTCTTCATGATTCGCGTACTTGGGTATGGTATGGGCGAGATAGAGAACATAACTGATTATCGTCAGGTCAATTGCTCGTAGTCCGCTCTTGAGATATTGGAACTCTGGTCATTCACAGTGGCAGTCGTGAACTCCGAAATCGAGATACCGCAAGGTTGACGATTTCGCGGAAGTGGTTTTGATTTTACATCAATGTCAGCTCTAGGAACCAGAGAGCATAAACTTTTCTCTGCGACTCGATATTCCAAGTGCTCCTCATGCTGTGGCCAGCACTTCTCAGCAATGAGTAAAGGTGTCAGCTGTTATACGAAACCTCTCGCTCGCACTGTTGGAGTCAACCCTTACTTGTCCGAAAAGTCCAATGCCTTACGTCAAAGACGTGACCAATCACAATGCACACAAACGTTTCTTATCTTAGCTATGGTCATAACAAAAGTTAGTCACAATAGGCCCGAAAATGTGTTGAAGACAACTGAGGCCTGCGACGCGTCGAGGCACCTGGGCGCGCCAAGGCCATTTAACGTCTTCATAACGTTATGAAAAGCTAGTAATTCATCAGTACCTATCTATCTTGTCCCATCCAGTTCAGTAACCAAATGACCGCCACATCATTCGCACCAACCATTGCGCAAGCAGAGCCAAAGTCCAGGTTCAAGCAGCACTAATTAACGAATCCAACTACGTAAGAATATCACTTTTGCAATGTATGCCACGCCTTGAGCAATACACATCCGCCCGATGTTTCAGCAAATGCATGAAATCACACCAAATTCCAAGAATGTCAAGAACTGCTCCCACGCTTGGCCGTCATCGCTGCATGCACTCGCGTAGAATTTAGTAAGAAGAAGGGCCGTAAATCATGCCTCAGGGTTCGGAGTATACTGCAGTCTTGTCAATGTGAGAGAAGGCAGCAGGGGTGTACATCGCAGCCTGACCTTCCTGTGGTGCATCGAATCCGCCGGCAAGACCCGGGTTAGTATTAGTTTTGGCTGGTAACATGAAGTATCTGCATGAAGTTCTCTTCATCGGCCGACCTGATGCTCAAAAACCACCCCGTTCTGGATGCAGTCGTTGAGTAGAGTCTGCAGAGCGTTCACACCACCCTCATCTTCTTCGCCCAGCTGAGTTTGGGCAGCAATAGTCCACTGAGCATGTTCGCGGTGCATGCCCATCACATTTAAGAGGCGCTTCAGGTGCTTCTGTGAGTCGGCCGCGATGGTGTCGAAGTCCGGCTCCTCGTTTGGGTAGTTGAAGTGTATCCATTCCAGAAGCTCTGCGTACTTCTCCTCAGCCTGCGATTCCATGTTGAACGGCACCATCTGCTGGAAGAGACTGCCGATGTTGAGGGTGATGTAATGTGTGACGGAGGGCTCAGAGTCGAGACTAGTGTGGCTGTCTTTCCAGTATTTTCCAAGCCGGCCTGCGATTTCGAGGAGGTGGCCGGTGAGTGCAGAGGGATCGCTGATTTCGAGATGGTTCTCAGGAAACAATATGAAGATGCGGCGAAAGCGGGATGCGGTTGCCCACATGGCAGTCTTGCGTCTGCTATTGTGGCCAGACTTGCCCAAGTTGCGGATGCTTCTAGACGAACCATTGGGATCGAGATAGGGCTTCAGAGACCGGCTGACGCTGATTTCGAGCTGGATGCAGTTGTAGAGGACCCATGAAGCCTCGTGGTTGATGGCTTTGGAGACCTGCAAGATGTCGAACCTTCCGTCGATGATGGTCTTGCCACTTCCATGCCTCCTGCAAGAATCCCGCTCCCTTGTTGTTGCATCCGGGCCGCAGCATTCCTTGACAGGTATGGACAGACCTGCTTTGAGCATATACGCGAATACAATTTGGCGAACCTCCTTCGGTAGTACACCCAGCGTTCCGAAGCCACCCTGACCTACGACCCAGAATATTGGCGAGCCTGGCTCAGGAGTTGGAGACACGAGCTCCAGGTCGAAACGGCGCTTCCGTGGCGTCCAAGGGGGTGTTGGAAGACTCTCGGTCTTAGATTTCTTGCCCGATCCATTGTTCCATGAGTATACTTCACACAACACCATAGTCACTGACATACCTTTCTTCCGGCGAATGAGCCCTCTTTGCCTTCCTGGACACGAATCTTCCATCCATACTCCTCAACTGTTGGGCAACGTACGCAGTACTCGATAAGCCCCCACCGAAGCGAGCATCATACTCAGGTACGACCGCTTGGAGACCTCGATAGTATCGTAAGTTCCGAAATATCGGAGAGAGCGGGAGAGCTGAAGCGAGCCGATGAGAGACGAGGAGTAGCAATCTTCCTATCAGGCATATCGGAAGCCCTGATAGTTCTCAGATCAGATAGCTGTCTCTGGAGGAGAAGATGCTAGCGTACAGATCCGGTAGTCGAAGAAGGCCTGCTCAAGGTAAGATCCTCATAGCCGAGAAGTTGGTGGTCTTTCCTTATACTAGTAATCTGCCTTCACCTAGTCGGTAAGATCATATGCGTCGAGTGTTTGCCATTTTCCATGCTGCTTAGAGGTTCGGAGCGAACTTCACCCAGTATTCGCCACTGCAGGTAAGAGTAAGACTTACTCACTTCGGCTTTCTAGACCATTAACACAGCTTTCATACATCCTTTTAGCGAGGTATTTTTATGCAAAGCATTGCGAGTACTTGTGGCATGCTGCTGTTGCGCTTCGTAACCTCCAGTCCATAGGGCATGGTGACTCCGAGGTCATGCGCTTCACCTCAATATCGGCGATGATTTGCAGCCTTGCAGACCAGCTCCAAGATGCATCAGACCTGTCAGCCTGATTACTGTCTCATGACTCAATGGATTAGCATGGTGGGGTTACACATACATGTACGCTCCCGAGACACGTCATGTGAGCACGCGTGGACGCGCCTACCCATCTTGTCCAGCTGTTGCCATCAACACAGTTAACCTCACTCCCTTCCGGACCGCCAGTTCACTTCCAACATGCGCTGAGCCATAGCTCACCCGAGCAGTATTGTACCAAACGAGACATGCTATCCCCACTCACAATCACAGCACTCGCTCACTTCTCACTCGCCTTCGCATATCAGCAGCATCTCCTCAGCTCGCCCCTCGTCCTCGTCCTTGTCCTCCTCCTCCTCCTCTCAACTCCCCCAACCAAATGATGCCGAACCACTACGAGGTCCTCAAGATCCATAACACTGCGGACAGTGCCGCCATTAAGAAGGCCTACCGCAGGCTAGCACTTACCCACCACCCCGACAAAACACTCCATCTCCCCGACGCAGACCGCCAAAAGCGGGAGAAGATCTTCAAGCTCGCCACGCTTGCATACGAGGTTCTCAGCGACGTGGTCAAACGAGCCTCATACGACCGGACACTGCGAAGCACCCGCACCGTCCCAGGCAGACCCGCAGCGCAACCACCACCACCACCACCACCACCACGCCCTGCCCGCCGAGAACCACCTTATAACCCAACATGGGCACCCCGATCACCACCTGAAAATCATACATGGGCACCACCATCAACACCACCACCACCCCGACCTCGTTTCAACCTACATGTATGGAGTGCCGGCGCCCTCCCTCCGACCTCCTTCAGCACGCAACCCTGGTTCTATGCACCCGTCAGCGAGACTGAGACGCGCACCGTCTTCAACTTCAAGAACCACCAGGGCTGGGACTTCTCCATCGGCCTAACGCGGCGCTTCAAGTTCCTCCAGCGGCCTCTCGTGCCAGTCCTGCAGACTGATACGCGCGGCCAGATCAGCATCACTTTCCTGCTGCAGCGCGACAATACCGTGAGAATGGCCGCGTTCATAGACGTAAAGGAGGTGCATGTCACCGTGGATAGAGTCCCGGGACACAAGGAAGTCGCGCTGAGCAGCTTGTTCGTCGAATCAAGAGTCGAAGACCAAGGCGTCAACGCGATCGAGCTGCGTATCAGTCTCGCAACGGGTTCGGAGCGCGATCTGCAGGCACGGTTTTCGGCGGCGTGGGATGTGGACTGCGGCTTTCTGGCGGGGTTTTTCCAACGGCTGAGGGTCACGCATTTGGTGTTTTGGCCGCATTTTCCGCGCGGTGCGTTTAACGAGGACGGCGAGGTGCCAACGGATGCGAAGGATGGGTCGCCCATGTGCTATGTCAAGCAGGAGTGTCCCGATATTTTGTTTGTGAAGCTGGGCAAGGCGTACTATTGTCAGGAGCAGACGCATAGTTCGAAGAAGTTGTGGCGCGTTGCGGCTGTTGGGACGATGTAGGCGGTCGGTGGATGGTGTTGGTACGATGTAGGGTCTAAATGGAGGAGTTGGAATATCTGGCTCGCGATCAGTGTGCACTAGACTTGGACAATCTTGTCTGTAAAATGAAAACATTGCTGATTCTATACCTGTCTAAATGCCGATGCTACCTGAAATGCCAGTCGTGCTATCTATCGCACGCCAGGAATTGGTCCCTTCTTCTCATTGTGGCCCAAATCTTCCTCGTTCCATCCGCTGCCAGCGCCCACTTTCCTCCCGCCCTCCTGCCTCTTGACTCTACACCACAGACTAATATCCTTGTCCCACACAAACTGCCACATAACATTAACCCAGCTCTTGTGTATCGGCAAGTCGTCGTAGAACTCGTGAGCGATGCGATTGAGCGCAGGGAGACGCGTCCACGGAATAGCCGGGAAGTCGTGGTGCTCGTTATGCAAGCCGACATTGTACGTGAAGAAGTTGAGCGCGCCGTAATACGAGTACGTCTCGGGCAGGGGGATCTTGTTCGCGGGATTTGCGGCGTCTTTGTTGGGCTTCTCGAAGACGTAGTGCTCGGCGATGAAGTGGCCTGCGCAGGGGTGCAGCGAGCCAGCGAGGAAGCTGCTCAAGATCAAGTAGCCGAGCGCCCTTCCTCCCGCGAATTGTACCAAGGCGTAGTCGAACGCGAGTTGGACGACGATGTTGAAGAGGTGGATCTTGGTGAGCGGCAGCTTGTACACGAACATGGGGCGCAGTGCGTAGAAGAGGATCTGGAAGGTGGCGAAGAAGGCCTTGCCGGCGACTGAGTCGAGGAACAGGGCTTCAAATGCAGTGGGCAGATCTGTGTCGAGGCCATTGACGCCCAGCGACTTGTGGTGGGTCAGATGGTACGGTCTGAAGGAGGCGCTGTAAGGGATGCCAATGGGCAGGTTCGCGAAGACGGCGAAGACGCGATTGGCCAGCGGCGAGCGGAAGGCCAAAGTTGTGCGATATCTCGTGAATGGCGAGGAAGAGGTTCTGGTTGGCTGTGGCGCCGACGATGTATGCTGTGAGGAGGAAGGGCCATGACAACACGGGGGTGTTGCGGAGGAGGTACGCGCAGAGGACCTGTATCGAGACGACAAGGAGGACGACATATTTGGTGAGAGGCTCGGGACCGCAAAGCTTTGTCACCTGCGCCAATTAGCTGGAGAACAACAAGAGAGTGGTGGCATTGCATACCTCTGGGTGCGCCTTGATAATGGCCATCCGCCTCGATCTGTGCGGCTCTTCGGTGTATGTCCAGAAAAAGTGGTCATGTTCGCTGTTGAGTGGGGGTTGTTGCTCTTCCGCCTTCACTGTGAAGCCCCTACTCGCAGGTCTGCGCGGGGGCACAGTTGCAGTACTGACTGAAGAACGCATAATGGCTGCAGCAGGACGCAATTGAGTGTGTTGTTGCTGATGGACTGAAAATGCTGCTGTGTGTTGCTTGGATGAGTTGACAGAACCCTGGAGTCCGAAACGGGTTAGCGGGTGGCGGGATATGTGGGGTTCAAGGACCCCGAATCGTGGAACGTTGGCTGGAACTCCTCCGGACAGTATCACCGCACTTTCAACACTAATTTCAGCTTTGACGTACTTTGGAATTGCTTGCGAAATATCAATTGCACCTGTTGTTACACAGTAATCTACGCTCCCGATCCTGCACCTTGCCCAGTACGTAATGCATCATTGGAAAGGCGGCTGCGGCTGTTGCTCGTACGGATACAGCTGGCCATTGGACGGGAACGCGTTCTAAATCCAGTTAGTTTTTGTTCGTTACCACTGGGTATCATACTCACCCAGTTGAAAGTGTCCGAGTAAGGGCCTAGATCCATCGGCATGTCGTTCACTGTAAAGGGATTCGCGTACATGGCATCCATGCCAAAAACGTTGCGACTTGAGGCTTCATCAGTGAAGTCGTTCAAGTCCCATGATGGTGCAGGCGAAACCAGGTCCGGCTGTGAAGTCACTATTTGCGCTGTCGTTGTATGTCAGTGACTGATATACGCTTACGAAGACACACGTCTTACATTTGGGAGCTTCACCAGTGCCATGCTCACTGGCATCTGCCTTGCTAAGAACCAATCTGATCGCTTCTGCAGCTTTTCTGGCTTCATGCGATCTCTTACTGGCCTTCTTCCATATTCTTTGCGCTCCACGAAGACGCTCAGTGATATGCTGACGAGATGGTGGTCCACGATCGAGTCTTAGTCCACTTGTTGAACCATTGTATGTGAGTGGGGACGGAGCCGTCAAGTCTTCGTCAAGATCCAGGATCAAAACTGTCGTAGCCAGCAGGAAGTCTGAAGCCACTATGGATGACATGTACCAACTCATAGTGAAGATCTGCCAGCCAGGTGTCCAGAGCTTTTCCGCCTGGCTGAATTTCGACATCGAGCCTTGTGTTGTAAGTCGAGCATCTCACATGCTGCATTTAAGCATACTCTCCGCGAGTAGTCATATTTAGGATCTGTGCGCCCGGGCAAGTGGAAGGGTCTGTGTAGCATGAGTTCGGCTTTCAGGAATGATAAGCCTATGTAGAGACGTCGCAATGATGTCGGATCTGTGGCCATGTCAAAATCCTCGGAAGCCAAGGCCTGAGTCGCGGGTGGTAAATTATCGTATACATGCCGCAGCAACGAGTCCACATGCATGAAATCTCGATAAGGCGGCTGCGACGTCGCGTTCATCAGGTCCATAACTTTCGCGTGTACCGTTCGCACTCTTGTCGTGATAATTGCGTACAATAGTGGTGTCAACATCGTCTCTGGCTTTGACGGAGGAAGCTCGGCAAGATCTTCGTGCAAATCTTCCTCCTCAAGGTTTCGAGGCTCTTGCGTGTCGTACATGAATGGTTGCATCATCCTCGGTAGGCCCACTTGCGCCGACGAGACGAGATCGATTGCTATGATGACTAACCATGCTCTGCGTCGCAGTTCCGCTTGGAACGGCGAGATGTTGGCGAAACGCGAAGGCTCCCGATGGTAACCCATCCTAAGCGCAATGCGTACGATCATTCCGACGAGAACAAACGAACTGAATTGTGTATCAGAAGATCGCGTAAACTCAGTACCAAAGTATGCAATCATCGTTTCAACTGTCCATGGTGGACACTTGGTATAGTTTGCCAGGATCATTGCTTGAACTATTTTCTCGCGATAGAAGTCGATGCGAGCTGTGTTCAGCGAGTCGACTGGAGCACTGGTCCCGTAACTTTCGGGATCTGACAATTGGAACGTCGCGCCGATACAGAGGACTGAATACAAGAGGCCCAGCCACATGGTAGAGACTTCGAAAGGATGTGTCCAGAATTTCTCATACTGCGCAAAACGTCAGCGTTGGAACGTACAAGGAAAGGCATTGCTGACTTGTCTGAGGAAGCTGGGTCGATGTAACAAGGCTGCTGAGCTTAGCTTTTGATATCTTAGGTCTCACACAAAGCTTACTTGGAGCTGTCATCATCGACTCAAAATAATTCGCGACCAGCTGGTCGGCTTCAGATCTACGAGGCAAAGCAGCAAGCAACTCTTGCTTGGTTGCATGTCGTTGGCGGCCAAAGAGAATATCGGGACCAGGTATGTCTCCCACGTTGTTGTCTTGGGCATGGGCAGATGTGGGAATTTGATCGAGATGTTCTTTGAGCTCCGAGATCTAGGAGAAAGTTAGAGCTCATGTACAAGCTGTAATGGAGAAGAAAATTGAGCTATGGATCGGGCTGTATTCCATTGATGCAATATCACACAAGCGTGATTTTTTGAGATGTACGCTCGGAGATGTTGGTGCCGCATTGCCAGATCTTAATTTACTCACTCCATCTAAAATACTTGTCCAGTGGCCGCTGTTCGTGTAGGTCGTGGTTTCATCACTTATCTTAACACGATCGGGCGTGCCAGGAATCTCGGTCTTGATACTCTCACTCGTGGGGTCTGGCAAAGAAGCAACGGAGAATACGGGACTCGTTTGTTCTCGGTCCTTACTTCCCATGAGTGAAGTTACAAGCTGCTCGAGCTGAGTGATCCGATCGTGAATGCCATTAGGGGCTCTGGACTCTTGAGGGGGCGGAACATTTCGTGCAAATGTGCAAGAAAATGACAGACCTCTGTCAATGCAAGTTTTGCATGGCTGTTGCCGATCGCATTTTAGCCTTTATTATTAGCATACAACTGTGGCAATGGAGTCACTCGGATAAGAGGCGCTCACTTCCTTCGCCTACAAAGTGTACAGGATAAGGTAGGCTTTGGTCTGCGCCGGCTAGGCGGTACATCGTGATGGTTTGGTTCCGCATTCATGTTCGCATTCAGCGCAAAGTTTAACGTTCAGTTGAAAATGAGATAGATCAGCGACTGAAGTATCTCACTCGTCGGCCGAGCTTGGAAGGGATCACGGCGTGCCTGCCTTGAAGGTTTTCGGCGCTCGGGCAGATACTAGTCCCGCCCTACCGGTAGGCTCCTGCCACCGACTTCGCCTGGGTCCAAACTACGAACTCCCACATCTGTTCACACAACGGCTATACAAAGACATTACAAGCAGTTAACATTTCTGCTCTGTACGGACATGTCGGTGAAGTAGAATCATTATATTTATGGCGCAGGAGATCGTCGTCACAATTATCTTGTGGCACAGCCTTGCTACGCTTCACTCCTCTCGACCCGGCCATGATGTTCGCTCACTATCCTAGACCTGTTACACAGAATCTGCAATCCAAGTTATTTGGCGACGGGGCGACAATTCCCACGGAGATGCTCGAGAAAGAGGCTCAAGCATTGCCACAATCACGTGCCCGTGTTTAGTCATTGGTGGCGGCGGATGCAACTTTGGCGGCTTCAGTGGTGGGACGATCCCGTTGCAGCAGGCTGGGCGCTTCGGCGTTAACAGCCCCCCGTACACAGCGCGTTCGCCCGGACTATAACCTGCGGTTCTTTGACCTCATCTTGAAAACGTTGTTCAACAATATTTTCAACTCAGGAAATGCAGCCAACAAAGGATAATCGTGCCACAACATCATGTTCCGAATGTCAGCGGCGCAAGCAGCGGGTACGTCGGGACCTCAGGTTGAAGGCCTTGACGGGGCTAACTAATGACCCGTCTAGTGCTCTCGCGAATGGCCATGCAATCATTGTCAGGCTAGAAAAGTTGCACATCTATGTCAATTTGGAGCGAAGAAAGCGCAACAGGAATCTCCACCAGATTCGAATCGGTTAGTTTGCTTCAAATAGCGATTCCTCGACGAAGTCGCCGAAATAACCATGCCTATGCAGTGAATCGTCCAACGAGTCCCGAGGGCAAAAACGGAGCTTCCCAGAACCGAGTGAAACGTCGTCTAGTGAGCAACCTGGTGACATGGAAGAGCCAGAAGATGGGCTTAAAATATGGGGCTTCATGCCAGGACATGTGCATTACAAAGTCGGTAATGTAGAGGATGTAGGCAGCATCGTTCCATCGTGGACCGCAACTGATCATCGCTCAAGACTCCTACCCGAAAAGCTTCTGCAGCGGATGCTACAACGTCGAATGCAGTTGAAAAGATCATGCATGTAATCCCGACACGATCAATCACAGGTTCGTTGCCCTGCTCTTTGTCGGACTTGTGAGACTGATAGGCGTAGATGCTTTCGTTAACCACTTTCTAAACCTTGTCAATTATCGATACAGTGCCATTTATGGGCCTACATTGGCCGACCAATACGTCACATGGTGGGCCGATCGTACCGCGCAGAAACGTGTCTCTCCCGAGTTCACGTGTCTGTTATTGCGGATATGCGCCTACTCAGTGCAGTATCTTACGCCAAGTCTTCGCGAAATGGTGGAATTTGAGCTTGCGTGCGACTCCCAGGTCCTCACTGATAGGTTCGCTACAGCCGCGGAGCAACTGAGCCAGAGCTTCCAAGCATCGGACCCGACTATCGAGCGTATACAGGAGCAGTTTTTGAAAGGAGCTTGGCTGAAATCAGAGTCGAAGATTGTTGAGTCGTGGCATGCTCTAGGCTGTACAATACGTGCGGCACAAGAGCTGGGTACGAGTTAGTTGATCGTGTACAATTTCTTGACACTAACATGGACAGGTATTGATAGAGATGCTGGGATTGAAGAACTACCGGAATTCGACATCGAGATACGGAGACGCATGTGGGCTCTGTTGTACTTATGGGACTGGTAAGTTGACGAGTATCTTGCGGTAGAAGTGCTAATGAATTTCTAGGCAAATGTCAGCATGGTTAGGGAGACCAAACCTCATTGACCAAAAGAACCTCGATTTTAAGTTGCCGAACTTGCGACTAGACCAGTCCACCACCGAACCTAACGCGATTTCCCCATTTGCGCACATGTCTCTCCAAGCACAATTAGGCAGGAGGATAGCAAGCGTACTACGTGACGTGCAGCCTGCTCGTGGTCCTTCAGCGGAAGAGGTGCTGGCTGTCGAAGCGGAGTGTGAGAAGTTTATCGAAGAGCTACCGGCGATTTTTCGAGTTGATGACCCAGATACCTCTCTCGACGAGCAGCATCCGTATTATGTTTTTCAGCGACACCAGATGCACTGTGTCATCTTTGTTTCGATGCTGAATTTCTATAAGCCATATCTGACGCGGGATCGAGCAGATGTACTGACGGACAGAGACGATGAGTTTCGCAAAATGGGTGTTGACATTGCATTGCGTGTTCTCCGGGTTTCGCGCAGACTGTTTGACCATGAGTTTCCTATCAACGCCAAGTTCCACATGGTAGTGTTCTCGATCTTCGACACTGCAACGATCTTATGTTCGGCTATTATCCACGACCGCGACCACATGTTACCACATCGGCACGAGGTTGTGGACGCCATCGAGGATGCGCTTGGCATACTCTATCAGCTCAGCCACACGACTAAGCTGGGGGCTTCATCTTATAGCTTCCTGCAGAAGCTTGTACAAGCCAGCCCCGAATTGTACCGGTGTTCGCCAGTGAAGAAGCGCCAAAAGCAGCAGCAGCTTGTCGCAGCTCCGTTGTCCTCACCAACTCCTCCGACTACATCGCCTCCTGTTGCTATTTCTATTGAGACTTCTAGTATTCCGCCGAGCGTGGTTGCTCCACCACAAATGACAACAACGGATGACATCTCGTTCGATCTGGACCAGTTCCTCGCAAACAATCCTTTTGGAGATCTTGGGGACTCAGCCGCTCTCGATATGGGTGGGATGGAGCAGATCTGGGATTGGGAAAACTTGCATCTCGAAGGCCTTTCGCAGAATGAGTCGACTTCATGATACGGACCTCGATGGCCTTTTCCTGGAGCGGTTATAGTGAACCTTCCAACTGTTCCCAGCTTCTTGACATGATTGTTAAAGCAAACGGATGCTGGATTCGTCCCTCTATGTTGCGTCTCAAGCTCAGCGGCTGGCAACGACAAATTCTCGACTGCACTCTGCCAACGGGTCGTTTGAGTGCGATAAGGACTTAGACACAATATCTAGGATCGATTGCGCCAACCAGGACCGAATGTCTGATTATGGAGCCGAGCAAACTTTATATCTAGACATTTTCCCGAAGAATTTCAAATCTCCTCACTTGTTTATATAAGTTGTGAGCCCTACGGACCATTGGCCGTCAAGGGCTGCAACTAAGAGAAATCGGATTCTTCAATGTAGCGAGAAGAGACTGAAGATCAAGAAGCCCATAGATGCATACCAAAGGGAATATGAGGCTTTCATGACCATTCTCTGTTCGATCTCCCGCCAATTTAGGAGCCACACTCGATCAGCACGCCAGGAGCCACGACTCACAATTTATGAGCACTTCGAGACCCCAGAGTAAAAAAACAAATCGTACAAACCCGGGCATCGCCTCTGAATTATATCTGCAACGGAGATGCTTACGGCGCTTCGGTTAAATGTGGCGTCATGTACGACTGACAATGCGGGGTGCGGATAATGTACATAGTGACCTTGGCATAATACTCCGCATCGTAAAGTCAATCATAAATGCGCTAAATACTGAATCAGTGGCCGGATCGCTGCCTCAATGAGAGAATGTACTGAAAATGATCACGCTTTCGTGGATGCAGACACCCTTGCCTTGGCCATATACTATGCCCTCGATTATATCTCTGCATTGTAATAGGCGCATTAATTTTGTCTGCAGGCGGAGTGGTACCTTGCAGTTCATCGGACCCGTTGCCGGGTATGTGAGCTGCCCTGGTCAAACTCTACTTCATTTGCAACCTCTCTTACACGGTGAAGAGATCGACATGCTTGGTCGGTACAATACCCACCGGCAGGGAGACTGATCGTGAAGATTCTTGGAAGTATAAGGCCTGTTCGCCCTCCAACGACGGGATGATGGGCGTACTATTCGCAGACTTCTGTGCCCCTCACGATGAAGACAGGGGCGACGCTACTGCTGAGCCTACTGCTCAGTCCTGTGCATGGATTGACCAGCGCATCCACCACTATCTGGTTTGGCAAACCAGGTGTGATATGGACCGATGCACTTCCTGTTGGTAATGGGCGATTAGGGGCGGTCATTCACGGTGGGTATGGGATGGAGCAAGTTGGATTGAACGAAGACTCGATATGGAGCGGAGGGCTGCAGAAACGCATCAACTCCAACGCATTGGCCGCATTCCCCGGAATACCCGAGGCTTTCACGAACGGAAACATCAGCAAAGCGGACGAAATCTGGCATAACAATTTGAAAGGAACTGGGACGCAGGTGCGGCAGTATCAACCCGCTGGAAATATGATGATCGAATTTGGCCAGAATGTTTCCAGCGTGTCTGGTTACAATCGGTCTCTGGATTTGACGACTGGAGAGAATCACGTGTCTTATACTAGAAACGACGTTACCTACTTGCGACAAGCTCTTGCGAGCTATCCGCATGATACGCTTGGCTTTCGATACACGGCGGACAAAGCTGGAGCTCTGGACATGAAGATTTCTCTGACCAGAAACGAAAGTGTGACTGGACTGAAGGTTGATCTGGAGAAGTTGTCCATCACAATGTATGGCCAAGGAACGAATGATTCGTCGTTGAAGTTCGTGCACTCAATCAGAGTTGTGGCAGATACAGGTATGATTCATGGCAAGCACAGACTTGTTTCTAGGCTAACGGGAATTTTTGCGTAGGCAACTTCACCTCGAATAGTACATCATTGATACTAAAAGGTGGAAAGGAAGTTAGAATATACTACGGAGCCGAGACTACTTTCCGTCACGCAAATGTTGAAGCGGCAGAAGCAGCCATGAATGCCAAACTAGATGCTGCTGTGGCGGTTCCGTGGGAAGAGTTCAAGTCGAAGGCAATTGAGGATTACAAGAATCTTGCAGATCGAGTACAATTAGATGTGGGAAGCTCTGGAGAGATCGGCCGCCTTGACACTGGTCAGCGACTCAAGAACTGGAACACTACTGGCAATGCGACATCAGATCCAGAGTTGATGGCTCTTACCTACAATTATGGCAGATTCTTACTGATTGGCTCTTCGAGGATTGGAAGCTTACCATCGAACCTTCAGGGTGTCTGGAATGATAAGTTCAAGCCACCGTGGGGCTCACGGTTCACGATCAACATCAACACCGAGATGAACTATTGGCCAGCCGAAACTACCAACTTGGCGGAGACACACCTCCCAGTGTTCGATCATCTTTTGCGGATGCAAGAGCAAGGTCGATACGTGGCGAAAGGCATGTACAATATGAGCGGATGGGTCTGCCATCACAATACCGATCTTTGGGGAGATTGTGTACCCGTGGACGACCAAACTTACTGGGCCGCCAACCCAGTCGGTGGCGCCTGGCTGGCTCTGCACCTGATCGAGCACTTCCGTTTCAACGGCAATACGACCTGGGCATCTTCGACAGCCTTACCAATCCTGAGCGATGCACTTACGTTCTTCTACGACTTCTCCATCAAGAAAGGCGACTACAACGCCCTCATCTACGACTCCTCGCCCGAAAACTCCTATCACATCCCCAGTAACAAACAAGTCCCCAACGCAACCACGGGTATCGATCAAGGCTCCGCGCACCCCCGTCAAGTCCTCCACGAGCTCTTCTCCGGCTTCATCGAGATGTCCGAAGCAACCGGCAGTATCGATGGCGTCGCCAAAGCCAAAGACTATCTTGCACACATCGAGCCGCCGAATGTTGCTACAGACGGCCACCTCCTCGAATGGTCTGGCGATTTCAGAGAAACCGAGCCCGGTCATCGCCATCTCTCGCACCTCCTAGGCGTTTATCCCGGCGGGCACATCAGCCCGCTGATCAACAAGACAGCATCGGACGCCGCACTTGTCAGTCTGGACAATCGTATCGCAGCCAGTACGGATCCGATTGGGTGGTCGAAAGTCTGGGCTGCCGGCATATACGCGCGTCTCTTCGATGGAGATAAAGCTGCATTCCACCTTTGCGATTTGATCAGTAACTATCTCGCTGGAAATTTATTCGATTTGAATATTGGGGTGTTTCAGATCGATGGGAATTTGGGATTTACGGGCAGTATGACGGAACTGTTTCTGCAGAGTCATGCAGGCGTTGTGCATTTGGCGCCTGCGCTGCCGAGTAATTTGATACCGGAGGGAAGTGTGAGTGGGCTCGTTGCGAGGGGCGGATTTGTGGTGAGTGTGAAGTGGAAGGATCATAAGTTTGTGGAGGCAACAGTGGAAGCGCAGAGGGGAGGACTGTTGAAGTTGAGGGTGGAGGACGGGAGAGAGTTCAAGGTTGATGGGTTGGCATACGATGGGAGTATTGAGACGAGTGCTGCGGTCGTGTACAAGATCAGTATCTAGGGAAAAAGAAGGTACGCTCTACGAATAAGATGTTACACAATACAAGATGGTGCTCCATGGAGTGCAAAATGATTCAATACGCTGTGTTGGATGAGAAGTCCGTGCCTCAAAGGCTATGCGAACGGCCTCAAAGTTAATTACTGGTGACCTGGCGCACATCCATGCGATCAGTCCTTGGTATAACAAGAATGAGGCTCGCTGAATTCATCAGCCTACGAAGTACGTGTGGTCGCATGCTTTGCTGACCGTGTGCGACCTAAGGAACAAGCGTTCAAGGTGCAGGTCAATGTAACCATACCATTGACTCCAGTGAGCTAATATGTCCCTGTCAAATTACAGCCTGCATGTCGCAGCATCAGAAAAGCGCGCAACACGCCATGCGACTCCATGTCCCTCCCCATGCCAGGGTCCACAGCATGGCGATCCTCAAGGCTCAACCCCGCGCAATTGTCAAACCGCGCGGCAGACTCGGTCATCTTCTCCCAAAAGGTGTTTTGTTGGAGGATCAAGGACACTCTTCTTGTTCACCCTCAGATCGACATCTGCGCAAGATGTCGCGGGACCCAGTGCCCAAAGTAGAAAATTGATACTGGTGATGTCGGTCCGCGCCTACAGCCGGTTTTCCAAAACTTGCGATTATACGAAAGTGTAGAGCTTATTGGTTAGGATGGTGGAGCCGGTGGGCTCCGATGCCTCGTTGCGATCAGTACGGTAGAGTTCTGAAACGTAAGACGGTAATCTCTGGTGGTGCATAGCGGCTCCCGAACAAAACTTTTCACCCGCCACCGTCAACACTTTTGAGAGGCCGCATTGACATGATCATAAACGTTCTTTTCCAACTGAAGTCGTCTCGATAAGATAGGACACTCTCATTGCGCCCACCATAATCAACCCCCTCTTGTTATCGCGGATTACGCGCGGAGTCCGAATGTTCACGTGCGTCACTGCGCATGGTTGGGGACGTGGAAAAGTCGGTTCGGGGCGATTCTTGCCTGGGTCTATTTGCCGACGGGTGCACTTAGCGTGTCGCTCAGTCAGATGAGCGTATCAGAGCTCGGGTCGCGTTGATCTTTGCAGTGAACGGACAAGCAACGTGATGATGCTCTGAATGGTGGTGGCAGGTTATCTGACCATGCCCGTGCCTAGACATAGCATGCCCTAACGCTAATAGGCAACGTACATTTTCTTCTCTAGGATACTTTATATAAAAACTTTCTTAGCATAATTAGCGCGTATAGTACGTATTTAAAGAGTTAAGAATTAATTCTTAATTAATTTATAGTTTATTTATAATTAATTTAATAACTTAAATTTAGAAGCTACTCTACTATAGCTGCCTCTTTTCTTTCTTTTCTAATTATTAGTACTAACGTTCTAATTATTAATATAGATTTTTTTAATCTAGACTTTAATAAGACTAAAGGTTTTAAGTAGCTTAAAGACTCTATAATAGAAGCACTAGAGAAGGTTAAAGAGATAGTAAGTACTTTAAATTAATTAATAATTAATTTATAGCTAATTAGTCTAAGAATATTATATAATAACGTCTAGTAATAAGAATAACAACGCTCTCTAAGCTAACTATCTTAAATTTCTAGCTATAATCTCTGCTTACTCTTACTCTAGTATTAATAGCTATGCATCTATTATCTAACTAAATAGCTTAGCTATGTAGCATTAGAGATAGAAGATGTAATTAGAGCGTGCTAAAAGCATAAGTATTTATGCAAATTAATTATTAATTAATTATTAATTAATTTTCTACTAGTTCTAGTACTATAAGGCTATTAAGGTAAAGAAGAAGACTACCTTCTATCTACTATTAAATACTTAGGCTTATTGCTAAGTTCTGCACTGCACTAGAGTTTAGACCTATAAATTTATTAATAATAAATTGCAGATTTATTCCTATGCTAAGGTTAATAATAACCTCTATAATAAAATCTGCTAATATAAGAGTACTATTACTTAGCTTAAGCTTAATCTATTAAAGTATAAGGCTAAGAACTTCTTTAATATACTTATAAGGCGCTTTATTGCTAGATATTATAATACGCTAACTAAGGCATGCTACTCTAAGCTTACTATATTAAAGAAGATAGTAAGTTATCTAAATTAATTATTAATTAATTACTAATTAATTTAGCTACTAACTAGTACTCTACGCTAGCTTATAATATGCAATGCCTAGATACTTAGAACTAAATACTAAGTTTAAAATATTCTAAAGAATACAGATCTTAAGTACTTATGCGCTCTAATTAGTAGCATTACTAAGCTTTCTTAAGAGCACTATATAATAGTTAAGCTACTAGTCTATTATACTTCTAAGTATAGTAAGTTAATTAATAAATTTATTACTAATTAATTCTAAGTTTATTTAGGCGTAAACTATATCTAGAGCTAGAGCTAGATAGTTAAGCAGAAATGCAATATTATATTTAATATTATTATCCTAGTAGATACTGTACGTATTCTATATATTATAGTTATCTTAACTAGAATATATACTTATATCTTATCTCTACTATAGAAGATTAATAGAGATAAGATAGATATAATTATTAGCATTCTTTAGCTTATATTAAGTTCTATAATTACTAGAAGTACGTTTTAGCGTAATTAATTACTAATTAATTACTAAATTATTATAGCTTCTTTTCTATTCTTCTTTCTCTTCTAAGCATACTTTATATAGCGTAGCTATTAGTCTATAGAATAACTAAGCACTGCGCTTACTAATAAAGACTAGCTTATACGCCTTATTTACTATAAGAAGCTTCTAAAGTTTTTATATAGTAGTAGCTTTAAGAGTATATTATTTAAATAGAGAACTAACTACTAGAATAAAGAATATATAAGCATACGTACTAAATAAATTAATAATAAATTTTAAATTATTTTAGGCCTATATCTAATGCGTGCTCTCTGTAATTAATAAGAATATTATTATTTATATATTTAAAGATTAAGCAAAGCTACTTATAAAGTAGAACACGTTCTAAGTTAATATATTATTTAAGAAGTTTAGAGATAGCTAGTCTAAGATTCTCTTTACTTTATTCTTTAAGAATTATAGAAAGAGTATAAATTTATTTCTAATTTATTGCAAAGTAATCTTACTAGAGTATAGTTTTTATATATAGTTATATTATTACTAATATTTAGACCTTAGCTATATATAAGAAAGCATTTACAGCCTACTTTAAGATTATTAAAGAGCTCTTAAGGCAGAAGTTCTAATAGCTGCATATCTACTATAATAGCTATATAGGAATTACTATTAATATAGATATAAAATAGATAGCTAGTTCATGAATTAATTATTAATTAATTTATAATTAACTAATATTTATAAGCTTTAGGCAATACCTCTCTGCTATTAACTTAAACTATGCAGAGTAGCATAAATAGCTTGCAAGCTATATATGCTTCTATAAGATTTACTTTTTTTATAGTATTAATAAAGTTATACCTTATATACCTTATATAGAAGACTCTAAGTAGAGACGTATGCGTACTCTCTTAACTACTAAGAGCGCTATAGAGTATATAGAATTATATAATCTTCTAATATATAAGTATTAATAATTAATTTAAAATAAGTTCTAAATTAATTTAGTTATAGTATTAAGTAATGCTATAGAAGAGTAGGCAAGGCATAAGCAAACACTATACTTATTATAGCTAGCTTAAATATTTACTATAGTTATATAGGCTAAGCTATATAGAATACTCTTATCTCTTACTCTAATGCTATTAAGTAAGCAGCGTTAAAGAGATACTATATTAGGCAATGCTATGCGCTTCTTGCAGAGTTAAAGATATATATAGCACTTAAATTTATTATTAATTAATTAATAATTAATTAATATTAGAGAGCAGGGAAATATATATAGATAGGCAGAATATTTAGAAGTAGAAAGCTTATAACTAAGCTAGTATACGCTATAACTTATGCAAGCTACTTAGGTTAAGAGATAGATATCTTAAGAATATAAGCAAAGAGCTAAGTAGTAAGTTTTGCTTAAATAAGTTATTAATAAATTCTAACTTTATTTAAGAGCGTTATAAGAGTAGAGCTACTTAGAAGATTATTAAGATATTAGATAATAAGGAAGATATGCTTAAAAGCTTAGAGAACTTTAGTTTAAGTAAAGTAAGATGCTTATGCTCTTATATAAAGATAAGCAAAGCTAAGAAAGTAGTGCATATAAGATTATACTAGTTATTATCTCTTAGAAGCTTACTTATACGCAGGTTCTCTCTACTAGTAAGGTACTATTTAGATCTAAATTAATTACTAATTAATTATTAACTAATTATAGCTTAGTACTTAATATAGTTAATCTTAAGCGCTAATAATTTAATGCAGAGCATAAAAGAACTATTCTTAATAGAAAGATACGTTAGTTTAGAATTATAAAGAAAGAAGCAGAGTTAGCACTTTATGCGCAGTAAGTTAATTATATAATAAGAGTAAGAGAGGCTGCAGGATAAGTAAAAGAGTTAAAAGCAGTTTACATTTAATTCTAATTAGAGAAGAGCATAGATCTATAAGTAACTAACTATTAATTAATTATAAATTAATTATTTAGTAGATTAGATATGCAGTAACTTATAATAGTCTAGTAGTATAAAGAGTTTTTAATGCTAAATTAAAGCTATCTATCTTTCTCTTATCTCTATTCTCTACCTCTATATCTAATCTAAACTATAATAATAGCAAATAACTAGTTACGCAATAGTATAAGTATCGCTAAAGCTAAATTAATTATTAATTAATTCTAAAATAGTTTAGCTAATCTACTAGCAATATGCTGCACTAGCTACTCCTCTGCTTAGGTTAACACTATTTATAGCTATAGATAATTAGAGGCATTATCTTCTTACTACTAGTAAGCTCTTCTATTAAGCTCTAGTTAAAGGTAGCAATATAATATATTATATAAGTAATATTTTGCTTTAAACGCATAGTCTTAAATTAATTCTTAATTAATTTAGAAAAAGTTCTCCTTGCGCAATGCTCTTAGCAATTATATATATATATATTATTCTTCTTTCTCTCTAGTAGTTGCACCTAGTAGGCTAATATCTATAAAGTAAATAGTAGAAAAACTTATATTTATTTAAGCTAAAATAGAATACTATTACTCTCTAAGAAGAGAAGCTAATTAAGAGCAAACTCTCTATATTATAGAATTAGTTATAAATAAATTCTTAATTCGTTCCTCTTCTAGTTTAGTATAATAGAATATGCTAGTATATAGGACATAGCTAGGAGCTATTAAGCTAGAGATATTAGTCTCTATAGATAAGGCTAATCGTTAGATAGAGAAAGAGTAAGGTAAAAGAAGCGTAGTGTCTGCTAATAATTAGTTACTAATTAATTCTAAACTACTCTTACTGCTACTGTAGCAGATACTTATTTATAAAGAGATAAATAAAGAAAAGCAGCAGAAGAGAGAGCAAATTAATATATATAAGTCTTACTAAGCTCTTATTATATATAGCTATTATAGTTCTTATTAGAATTATAGAAAGAAGCGAGTAAAGAGGTATTTACTTAAGGAGCTATATTTAAATAGGCAGCTTTTTATATTAGGCAATTTATAGTTATATAAGAATCTACTTTAATTGCTCTATATAATGCCTAAAGGCCTAAATGCATTAGGAATTAATTACTAATTAATTCTACTAACAGCAGTAAACTTAGAAATTGCTAAAGTAAAAGAAGTAAGTAGAGAATAAGCCTAAGCTAGAGAAATTGCAGAGAGATATCTAGTCTAACTCTAAATTATATAAGGACTTAGATAAGAGCTCTAGCTAGTTATAAATTAGCATAAATTAATTATTAATTAATTATAAGTTAATTTAATATACTAAGCTGCTGCTAACCTTAGAGCTAGAAGGTTTAATACTCTTAGCGTTAAAGCCTAGTATAGAAAGAGAGAGAAAGCTATAGCTAGCAACCTAATCTTCCTTAGGCTCTTTATTATCCTAGTTATATATTAGCAAAAATAAATTATAAATAAATTCTAAATTTATTTAACTTATAGAGTTAGAGTCTAATAAAGAAGAAGAAAGAAGAGCATTACTAAGCTGCTTCTTACTACTAACAAGATTATTATCCTAGTTATATATTAGCAAGAATAAATTATAAATAAATTCTAAATTTATTTAACCTACAGAGTTAGAGTCTAATAAAGAAGAAGAGAAAGAGCTATTGCTAGGCTGCTTATTATCCTTATTACTATTAAGATTATTATCCTAGTTATATATTAGCAAGAATAAATTGTGAATAAATTCTAAATTTATTTAATCTATAGAGTTAGAGTCTAATAAAGGAGAAGAGAGAGAGCTATTGCTAGGCTGCTTATTATTCTTATTACTATTAAGATTATTATCCTAGTTATATATTAGTAAGAATAAATTATAAATTAATTTTAAATTCATTCTACTTACGCTGCTAAAATTAAAGAAGAGGTTCTTATTATTATCTCTAAGGCTACTACCTCTAAGACTACTATTATTCTAGTTACTCTTATCCTTATTCTAGCTATATATTAGTATAAATAAATTATAAATAAATTATAAATTAATTCTACTTATAGAGCTTAATAATAAGTCTAATAAAGAAGAGTTAGACTTATTAGCTAGCGCGTTATTCTTAGCAGCTAGCTCTATCTAGAGGTCTCTATTCTTATAGAGCTAGTGCAGGCTAAGCCTAAAGTAGTTATACTCTATAATAAATTAGTAATTAATTTTTAATTAATTCTTAATTAATTTAGCTATAAGCATACTTACTATTAAGCTCCTCTTTCTTACTAATCTTAGCATTAGCTATATAGGTCTTATAGAGGAACGCTCTTCTAGAAATAGCTATATAGGCTGCGTGCATGCGCATAAGATCTAGCTATATCTTTATTAGAATTAATTACTAATTAATTAGAAATTAATTTAACTTACATTGCTGTTAGGCAAGCAGAGAATATTCTAGAGTAGAGAGTAGATAACTAGAACTAGAGTAGTAGCAGCAGGCAGCAGAGCAGCAGCAGTATAGTATGCAGCTATAGTATTAGCCTAGAAGACTAAATTAGTTAGTAATTAATTAATAATTAATTTAGATACTCTTACTTTTCTCTTAGATAATAAGCTAAGAGTTAGGCATGCTAACTCTACTAGTACATATAGCTCTTACTTAGTAGTTCTAAAATAGGTAGTTCTTTAGATTACTTAGCTTACTAAAAGATACTTATTACTCTATTAGAATTAATTTATAATTAATTAGTAATTAATTCTTACTCTATAAAGAGCTTCTAGTGCTAAGAGTATCCTATACTAGATCTTACTTATATGCATAATAGGATTACTTACTTAATTAAGCGCGAAGAGACCTATAGTAAGAGGAACTTAACCTAGAGTATAATACTATTTATAAGAGAGCTAGAATAAATTATTAATAAGTTATTAATAAATTCTAGCGCAGCATATATAAATCTATCTAGAACTATAGAGACTATATTACTAGCTATTGCTATTAGTAGAGGCTGCTTAGAGCGTAGTGCTAGAAAGTAGTAAAGTATATATTATAAATTATAATTTCTAGGTATAGTTAAATTAATTATTAATTAATTAGCAGTTAATTTATGCTTATTAGTAAAAACTTGCTTAACTATTAGCGCCTAAGGTTAGGCTGCGCACAGACGCTTAGCATGCCATCCTTGGCACGCGCATGGTCAGATGACTTGCTTCCTGCTCTGAATGCTTGGGCCAGCTTGTCTACGTCACTGCACGCCTTAGCCATCTAACCCACGGTCACAAACTCCACACGAACCATTCGTTACAAATTTTATCTCTAGAACCATGTCGCAAGGGTCAAGGCTTGCTATATCAGTAGCGCTGTGCCTCGCAAACTTTCCTTCTAGTTTTGTACTTCAACCTCAAGTTTGAACACCTCCCTGAGAACATTTTGTATACGAGTAACGCCTCAATACAAGCTTCTCCAAGCCCTCCAAGCCTCTTAGCATCTTTTGCTTGGGTGACTCGACGTGCATTTTTCGACGACTGTCCCAGAATCGACACCGAGCGTCAAGATCGACCACAGCAACAATCCCTTTGCGACTTCCTCCGCCATTTAGTGTGCCGAGCGATTTTTCCATGCAGCAAACTTAACGACCACCCACCGATATCAACAACGTCCTTGCGCCCACCAACATGCCTCGCACCATTTTTGTTAACCCTTTCAAAAGCCATGATGTCTCGGAATTTCCTGACGTTTTGCGCCCTCTCGACCAAACCCCTATGCGCGCCACTTCTATCTCCGCTGAGCAACGCCCTTCCATTGCGCCAACAGAGAAGACCGAAAAGGACGACAAGGCAGACAATGACCTCAGGCGACCAGACAGCAATGCATCGAGCGGCATCGTGAACCATGGAATGACTGTTGAAGCGCTAAAGGCAGAAATCCTCGCTGATGTTGCAGCATCTGATACCGATACGCCTTACGACCGTAGGGCGACACTCTGGAAGCAAAAAGGTCAAGGCTAATACAATGCAGGAAAGTCCAAGGTCATCAACCGCGCCCTGCAAGATATGGGCATGGGAAAGTACCAGTGGGAACTTTTCGCACTTTGCGGTGGAGGCTGGATGGTATGTTACCAATACGGTCGAAACATTGTCGCGTGATGGCTGACCATACGCAGGCCGATAACCTTTGGCTTCAAGGTGTCGCCCTTACCTTGCCACAACTTTCTGCAGAATTTGGCATAAGTGAGACCGAAGTCCGCTATACTACTCTCTCGCTCTTCCTCGGTCTCTGTATCGGTGCTTCATTCTGGGGCACTGCATCTGATGTTCTGGGGCGCCGTCTTGCCTTCAACTTCACCCTCTTCCTTGCTGGTGTATTCGGCCTTGCTTCCGGCGGTGGTCCCAACTGGATCGGTACCTGCGCACTTTATGCTTGCATCGGACTTGGTGTCGGTGGTAATCTGCCCGTTGATGGCGCACTCTTTCTCGAATTTCTGCCTCAGACTTCCGGAAATTTGTTGACATTGCTTTCGGTCTTCTGGCCAGTGGGCAACCTGATCGCCTCTCTTCGTAAGTAAACCGTGCTTCGCATAATCGACACGAGCTTACGATTTCCAGTTGCGTGGGCATATATCCCCAATTTCTCCTGCACACCCGGCCAGCCGTGCACCAAAGCTGATAACATGGGTTGGCGGTACTTGATTCTTACTCTCGGAGCCATCACTTTCGCCATGTTCATTTGCCGCTTCTTCCTCTTCCACTTGTACGAGTCGCCAAAGTTCCTGCTTTCTCGCGGCCGCCAGGCTGAGGCTGTCGCGACTGTGTACGGTATTGCCTCATACAACAAGACCCACACCTGGCTCACCGAGGATATTCTAAACTACGTCGGAGGTGACCCTGAGGCTACAGGCGAGGATGTCAAAATGAGCACACTCCAAATCATCAAGCATTCCCTGAGCCGCTTTTCTATGAAGCGATTCAGCGCTCTCTTCAAGGACAAGAAGCTCGGCATCACCACCGGCCTCTTGTGGTTCCAATGGACGACTATCGGCATGGCATACCCATTGTTCAACGCCTTCCTGCCACAATACCTCCAAAACTCAGGCGGAGGCATCGAGAACGACGTTAGCACTGTTTACCGCAACTACGCCATCACTGCCATCGTCGGTGTACCCGGGTCTATAATCGCTTGCTGGACAGTTGACATTAAGCATGTCGGCCGCAAGGGAACAATGTCTATCGCCACCGTCATCACGGGCGTCTTCGTTTTCTTGTTCACCATCTCTACCGATTCCAACTTCCAGCTGGCTTTTACTTGTCTCGAGGCTTTCTTCCAGAACATCATGTACGGCGTGCTTTACGCATACACACCAGAAGTCTTCCCAGCGCCCATCCGCGGTACTGGTACCGGAATGTCTTCGTTCCTCAACCGTGTCGCAGGATTGTGCGCACCGATCGTCGCTATTCAGGCTGGAGGCTCGAATCCCAAGGCCCCGATCTATGCATCTGGAGGCTTGTTCATTGCTGCTTTCTTCAGCATGTTGATCCTGCCTATTGAGACGCGGGGTAAGCAGACGTTGTAGACAGCTAGTGTGATGCTGCTGGCTGCATCGCTTTCAGTTTCAGTAGTTCTTGGAGCTGTTTATTGCTAGATCAATGACAAATCATGCAAATCATACTTATCTCTTCAACCTGTTGTGTATTATTCCTACATTCAATCTAGTGGCCATGGGCCCTAACTAAGTCCATCATGTTCGCGTCTAGTAAGCATGAGATCCAATCTCATAAGATAGACGGGCAGTGAAGTCCTCCTTGAGGTGAGAATGTCTCGTCAAGACTTCCAAGAGGTGGGATGCGCTAAACGCAAAAATGGTCGCCATGCCACGTTCGTCCAACGCTCAAACCGTTTATGGCTTCCCATCCGTAACGCTGCGAGCCCCCGTCACAGTGCGCACTAAGTCGTATATGTGCATCAAGGATCTCGGATTGCGTGTGCGTGCCGCCACCATAGCCGCAGATGTAGGACAGTTCTTTTCCCCTATGCGGTACATTAGCATTGTTTTGTTCGGCTGTGGGGAAAACCACATTGGGATGCTTACTTTACAAAGGAAACATAATTATGCCACCCCAAGTACATGTTATCCCACATAGCCGCAAGGGCGACATTGGCAAAGTCTAGGTCTGGAGTGTTTTCGCTGTAACCCCGGCACCAGTATTTGGTATACTTCACGTTTGGAGGGAAAGTGTCCGTTGTCGTGGCTGTGACATTCTCGGTTGTGGCCGACTGAGCAGGGAGAAGAGCTGCCAGCTCAGCGATGGGGGTGAATTCGACAGTTTTCTCGCCTGCTTCGTTAATCGTCCCATAGTAAAGGCCATCGCCTTGTTGTAGCAGGTCGCTGCGCACGCGCATGGGCTCGACTGCATGCGCAGCCACTGATTCATCATGAACAGATTCATCGCGATGAGTATTAATCTTGCAGATGTGGTCGCCCAACCAAGTACGGCCAATGGTCAGATCTTTCTTGTTTTCGTAGTCCCAGCCGTAGCCAGTTGACCCGCCGCAATCGAAACTGATTAGAACGTTTGCCGCAATGACTTCATCGTATGTGCCCTCCCAGGCGCTCCACGCGCATAAGTAGGCAATTTCTTTATTGCTGCGGTATGTTAGTTTCAGATTTCCTTTCACATCGACCGAAGGTGAGGTACTTACATCGTGACCCAACCTCTCGTCCTCGCGTCGAAATGAACGCCGTTGGACTGGCGCCCAAGCTGAACGTTAGCTTCATCCACATCTTGCCAGCTCCCGCTCTTCGTGGGTGGGTATTTTCTGCAGGTTGGATGGTGGTAGCGGGTGCGCAAAGCATCAATGCTCCCAGCCGCCAAGTTTTCCGAGACTGATGATTGAGCAGGATCGTAAGGTTTGAACTCAGTTCGCGGGGTAAACTTGATGGTGCTCTCTCCAGCGTCGTTGAAAGTCTCCAGGTAGAAGCCGTCGCCCTGGTTTCGCGCGTCGAAGGTGGCGGAGCGAGGTGCTACCGCGATAGGCGATGCTTCAATGGATGCTGGAGCAGAAGGTGGTACGAAGCCCTTTCGACAGATAGATCCTCCCTTGAAGGTACGGCCAACGGAGAACTCGGTCCAGACATTCCACACTCCGAACTTTTTGTACCCCCTGGAATGAGACCAACCATAAGCCGCTGATCCGCCGCAATGACTGCTGATCTTCATTTGCTCATTGATGAAGTAATCATAATTCTCTGTCCAACCGTCGGCGCCTTCAGAGAGACACCAATAGGAAGTTTCGCCGCTTTTGTGTAGCCAGGTAATGGGGCTCCTCTTGAGATTGAGCTGATCGCCATATTTCGCCATTTCAGAATTGACATAGTCCAGGTCAGAAACGTTCATTGAAAACCCGCCCCGGCAAGTCTGCTTGACGCTATCGCGTTTGCTCAAAATGTCTGAGCTCTCGACCGTAGCCGCAGCAGCAGGTGGGATGAACTTCTGCGTACAGATAGATGTTCCTCTGACGGTTCGACCCACGGAGATCTTAGTCCAATCTGCTTTAGTATCTGTTGCCAGAGGGGGAGCAACTGTGTACCCCTCGAAGGTGTTCCATCCATAACCAGCTGTCCCGCCACAGGTGTTACTCACGATCGTCTGCTGATTGATAAAGTAATCGTAAGGATATCTCCAATTATATGAACCTTTGGTGGCACACCAATATGAAGTTTCGTGATTGATGTGTACCCAGCCAACACGGTTGTACTTGAGATCGGTCTTCGACCCAGCTTCTGCGAGCTGGCGGTTGGCCGAGTCCAAGTCAGCAACGTTCTTTGAACTGCCGCGCGCGCAACTCGTCTTGTCTCCTTGGCGTTTGTTCAAAGCGTTTATGACATCAGCAGCAGAGTTGCTGCTTACTGAAGCGCGAGAGACGGAACTGCTGAGCTCGGCCACGGGCGTGAACTTGACGCTCATTTGACCAGTCTCATCATCAAAACTGGCAACATAGAGACCGTCACCTTGATCCATCTGGGCAGAAGTCATGTCCCAACTCGATGCATCGGCAAGTGAGGCGCGACTGCTAAGCTTGGTAATAGGCGTGAACTTGACGGCCATTTGACCAGTCTCGTCGTCCAAGCTGGCAACATAAAGACCATCGCCTTGGTCCATCTGGGCGGAAGTCATGTCCCAGGTCGATGCATTGGCATGTAAATCAAACTGGACAGTTGGGGTATCGACAGATGCGGATTCTCCAGATGGAGTCTCGACAGCCCGAGCTGCATGCCATCCCTTGAAGGTGTCTGTACAGAAGTTGTTGCCATGGAAAGTTCGGCCAACTGCGAAGCTTCTGCCTTGTACCACGTACCGATGGTCCCAGCCGTAAGCAGCAGCGCCACACTTCCTACTGGTGACTGTGTGCATTTCGATGACTTCATTATATGAGACTTTTTGTCTCGTGTACGGGCAGAAGTAAGAGGTTTCGCCATTGCTGTCGATATTAGTACCATATGATATCAATTTCCAGACTCAGAGAACTTACTTGTGCACCCAGCCCCAAGACTTGGGACTGTATGTCTTACCATCACCGTTATGTGCAAGCTGAATATTGGCACCATCCAAGTCGCTCTGGGATCCGGAGTCTCGGCCTTCACACTCGGTTTTGCCCTTGTGCAGAGAGTCGGTGCTGTCTGGGATGTAATCCAGCAGACCTTCAGCACGGGCTTTGGAGAGAAGCTCAGCGGTGGGTGGGAGTTCTGCCATCGGCGTAAACTCCACATCGACAGTACCAGAGTCATCGACAGTTGCGGTGTAGAAGCCATCGCCCTGGAACATTAAATCTGAGGCGATGTTGATGTCAGAGGAGGTCGATCGACGTGGCGGCGCGAAGGGTCTCGCAACTTGTGCTTCATATGGCTGGAATCTCTTGTCGCAAATGGAACCACCTCGCCAAGTGCGCCCTATCGTAATGTCCACGTTGCGGCCCGGAGGGTTCCTCAATCTATTATATCCATACTAGATGGTGGGGAACAAAGTTAGTAATGCCTCGTGTGCAATTCGTACGTATAGTTAACGTACAGCGGCTGCTCCACCACAGGTGTTACTAATGGCAGTGTGCATGCTTATGATATCATCATAGGATAGATGGGCCTTTGTTCCCGTGCAGGCATATGTGGTTTCCTCGTTGCTGTGATTGTGTCAGTTCCTCATGGTTAGAGCACTTGTTCCGCACCGGTATACTCACTGGATCATCCAATAATAATTCGCCGCTTCGAAATTTCCTCCCTGTGCGTCCATGAGCTTCGCCCACTCCACGTTAACATGGTCTAAGTCTTGGACTTTGTCACTGAAATCTCCTGGGCATGTGATAGGGCCACCGCTTGCAACAGCGGTGCTTCTTGCAGCAGGGACATTGGCGTGCGGATGTTTGGCCAAGATTTCGCTGATAGGCGTGAACTCGACTTGCAAGATTCCATTCTCGTCGAACCATGCACGGTGCAACCCATCACCCTGGTCCATGGGATTGACATCGCGAAGTGAGAGTTCGGCGGGCTTCGCAACCTGATCCACGGTATCGCGACGCGAGAGTTCAATGGGCTTCTCACTCGGCTCGATTGACTCTGAGAGTCTCTTGCCTGGATTGTCGTGGAAGTTGCTGTCACAAAAGTTGTCGCCATAGTAAGTGCGGCCCACAGCTAACCAGTAATCCGAATCCCAGACAGCGCCAACGTGGCGCCTGAAGCCATAGCCAGCATCGCCGTGACAGTTATCACTAATGGATCTGTGGAAGCCGATGATCGTGTCGAAATCACCGACTCCAAACCCGGTAGACGCAAAAGTAAGACGTCTCGTTGGCATTGCTATCATACGATTAGTCTTCATCCTACACAAGAATACATCGGACTTACTGGTGATACCAACCCCATTGATACTTGTAATCTTGGCCTTTTACATTATTTGCTAACTGGACATTGGCCCAGTTCAAATCGCCTGTATTCATCGAGTCTTTGCGGTCACAGTGGACTTCTCCACGCTTGCGTAGCGCTCTAATGCTCATCACGGTAGGGTTCTCAGTCGTAAGCGTACCGTTAATAGCTGGTATCGTACTGTTGATAGCTGGTAACTGAGCCGCAGGTGTGAACTCGACGCTAGCTTTGCCCGAGTCATCGAATGTAGCCAGGTAAAGCCCGTTACCTTGTTGCATCAAACTCTTTGCAATGGTGAAATTCTTGGGCGCTGGATCCCGCTCCTCCAACTGCTTGGGAGACGAGTAGAAATGCTTCTCGCAGAACTTATTGCCCGTGTAGGTACGGCCAACAACCAGGTCCCTGGCACCACGTCGGAGGACGTAATGGTTGTACCCATAGGCAGCTGAGCCTCCGCACTTCAAGCTGAGGGCTACATGCATGTTGATCACGAGATCGTACGTCGGATGGTTCACCTCGTAATTGCACCAATAAGATGTCTGACCATTACTGTTGACGCATTAGTCCAGTGTCTTCCACATATGCCGAAAACTTACAGGTGTACCCATCCGTATAGACCTTCGCTCTCGCCGTTCTTGCCATTAGGGGCGTTCTTCGCAAGCTGAACATTGGCGGCGTCTAGGTCGGCGACATTGTCAGAGTGGCCGGGATCGCAGACGATCTCGTCTTTGCCAACGCTCCAGCGACCGGAGTGTGTGGCGGGTGGGGTCTCGGGGACGAGATCCGGATCGCGGGCGACAAGCGCGGCCATAGGTGTGAACTTGACATCGAGCTCGCCGTTCTCGTTGCGAGTGGCAATGTAGGAGCCATCACCCTGGTTGCGCAGCTCATCCGAGATTTGCAGGCCAGCGGTTGTAGAGGAGACGGGTGCACCGAGAGCGCTACCCGCAAGGAGGGAGAGTGTAGTGATCGTAGACCACTTCATCTCTGGGGTTGATCAAGAAAAGTGAGGTGGGGGCGGGATGAGGAGAAGAAGATGAGAGCAAAGGTGTTGCGGAAGATATAGCTATCAGTGGCGCTAGCGGGCGGGTCGCGAGCGTTTACAAGGCATGGGAGCAAACGGGCAACCCCCGCGATCGCTCGCCCGGTCAGCAAGAACCCCAAGGTGAGAGAAAAGGGAAATGACGCAAGAGGGAAAACTAAGGAGTTTGGGGTAGGTATCTGGGACACGAATATGCGGTGGAACAAGCACAAGTTTCCACGCTTCCTGCTCTGAGTACTAAAGACCTGGGAAGAGTGCCAGCACGCCGGTGGTCCTCAGAGTCCTATCTCTCCGGACTAACCCTACAAATTTAACAGCTATCGAGAAGTCTCTTTACAAATCGCAGTCTCTAAAGCGTGCCTGGCCCTTGCTATATTTTGAACTGGCAATCTCGGAGGCGGACTCGAGGCGGGCAAGGCTTTCAAAGACGTTGACTCAGCGGGAGGATTCCCAGTCAGAACGCTTCTCGGTATGGGGCGTCCATATATGTACCAGAATCCAGTCATAGGCATGCATGCCATTGATCGCTGTACAAAGGCTCGTGAATGAGGTGAAGCACAGCAGGGGCCATGGCCATAAGGTGCTCATTGATCGAACTCTGAGATTCCCACAGCACCCAATCTTTCAGAACCAGCAGAAGTTCTTTTGGTCCATTTAAGCATATTCGAACCTGCCCCGGAGTGTTGTGTGCTACCCGCGATGTTCCTGCGTCATTTTTGAAGATCAGGTCAGCTCGTAGCAGTTCATACTCCTAGCACGCTGTCATAAGATTTGCGATTGAGTGCAATATAGACGTCAAGACTGGCCTTTAAACACGCCTTCGGCAGGTAAAGAGCGATAGTGCAGTCGGCACGATATCGCACCATCGACAGCCTGGAATGTCGGAGACGTCAGAAGGAGGCGGAAGATATTAATCGACGCATTGCTCAAATTCCTGATATTATTGACGTGTGTAATGCCGTGAACATGTCCTGAGGTCAACGATGGAGAAGTGAGGTTCCAACGCACGAAGCCAGACTTAGCGTCAGTCGTGCAGCATCGGACCGGACCTTCTCACCGGTTGTAGTATAGTGTCCTCCGAGAGATGCGTTCCCCGCTTGAAAATTTCCCAACATAAGCGATGCCCCTCATCAACCATTATGATGTTGAAGTAGAGCCTGAGATAGGAAAGTCGACTGGAACAAGCCATGTTCTGTCGTTGTCATCAGGATATATACGACAAATTTTGTCGCAACTTCATCAAACACACCGAGGTTATTCCTAGGTCACGAGGGCTCGTGGTTTAGTGGTATAATACTCCCTTAGCATGGGAGTGGTCCGGGGTTCGAGTACGTTCATCCGCTTCACTTCACTTTGATTCGCATTTCTAATAAGAAATAGTTCCCCGCGAGTCCAAAGTTTCTTTTTTGCTCGTAGTGTGAGCTGTAACCTTTTTGCCCTTACAGCAACTAAGTAGCTGTGACAATCTGCTGAATCCAGCGTCGTTGTTTTGATTGCTTCGTTGCGAGACATGTCAGTGACGCGCGAATGGCATTGTGGATGGCGGCGTCTACGTTTTCGATATTTGACCGCCTGAGAAATTATCCCATGCCGACGGCGCCCACCGCTTAATGGAATGACTTCAGATAGCTAATTGTTTGATCCTAGTTACTCCGCGTCGCGTTACATGGCCAGCATCGTTCAGTGACGAGGTGCCACTTTGCAAGCCATTACCAACTCGAGCAAATTTGACCCAAGCCATCAAAAATATCGCGAACAGTATCACCAATAGCAATCTAGACTTGCAATGACTATGATCAATTTGCCATCCTCTAGAATAATTGCAACCACCCTCTCCGCTCAGCCTAACAAACTCAACCTCGCAAAGGCCTTAACAACCGGCGCCTCTCTCTTCTTCTCCACCTCCTGCAAACTGTCCCAAAGCGTCGCATCCCCTCCCGTCGGCCTCAACATCTCGCCTTCAACCCCATTCGCATCCGCACCCACAGACACACCACCAACCGCTTCATCCGTCTGCGGATACATCTCTTTAACTGCATCCCTACACCTCTCAATGACCTCGTTGACCGCATTCGACACCGCGTCCGCGCGTTCCCTCATACCGCGCTTCACCAGCCCTTCAATCAACCGCTCGATCTCATCTTGCATGCTGTTGATGCGCTCAATCAACCGCTCAATCGAATTCGTCAAATACTCCTCTTCATACACCGTCCCCTTCTTGCCACGCGCACGCTTCCTCTCTTCGCGTCTCTTATTCTTGCTCGTCTTGCGCGTCGCCTGCGTATTCACCGTGCCAGTCTGGTGCGTGTACCTTGTCATAAACGTGCCTCCAGACGTGGTATCCGTCGGCGCAAGCGAGATATTATCAGGAATATTAGCGTCTGCGCCGTCCATGATGCCTTCGAAAAACGCCATCGGGTCCTCTGCTTTCTTGAGCCGCAGGTCGCGCAGGCGCGGCACTTGCGCTTGCAGCTGGCCTTTCATGTCCGCGAGGAATTCTGTCATGTCGGCGGAGCGCTCGATCAGACCCGGGTCGATGACTTCGGCGATGAGGTCAGGCTGCCTGCGTAGGGTCACGATGCGCACGGCTTCGGCGAAGTGGGCGCCGCGGCAGAGGAGACGGGCTGCGGAGGCGGGGTCGGAGAAGTAGTCGAGGGTGATTGTGGCGGCGGCGAAGTAGTCTTTGGATTCAGTGAAGTCTTCGATGAGGGAGGATGCGAGGGTTTCGAGCTCGGAGGCTGGGACAGAGGCGAGGGTCGCAGAGGATAGGGCTTCGCGCCAGAGATTCGCTGCGCGGTAGCAGGGCCAGGCGGAGGCGTGGTCGCCTAGATACTCGTATGCGAGCGCGGCGTCTTTGTTCTTGTTGGTGGTTCTGAGGTAGTCGGCGTAGAGTTGCATGATCTCCTTGAGACGGGCGTTGTCATATTGGTACATTGCTAAGGCTTCCGAGTATAGCGCATGCTTCTGAACGTATTCTTGTACTTCATCGTGCGCTTGCAGTTCGTTGAGATGCGCAAGTGCTTTTGCACGTCGTCCCAGCTGGTCGTCAATCTGGAATTGACGACGAATGGGCGGAAGGTCCTGCAGCGACTGCAAGTGTGGCAGGTATTCTCTTGGGTCCTACACCAAATCAGCAAATCAACAGAGCTCGTGATAAACAACAAACCTTTTGTGACTGCTGCGCAATGAGAAGAGCCAAGTCGAGGTTGTACAGGCCGAGTGAAGTCTCGTAGAGTTGATTGACGTCTGCTAGGAAGCAGATGTGCTCAGCAGCTTTGTCAGTGAGCGGATCTTGAGCGGCTGCAACGTGTCAGTATAGGCTGAGCATTTAATTGATGAGAGTTCTTACTCTGCAACCTTCCAATCATTTCAAGACCGGCCTCCAGTGCGGGTGGTACTTTCGATACGTGGGCAGTGATGATATTCTGTAGGTGCTCGTCTTTGTACTTTGGTTCCTCGAGCACAGCCAGGAACGCGTCGCTGATACGATTAACTTTATTCTCGACCTGTGCCTGTGACAGCTTCGACTTTTCGACAAGGTCTTTCGCTTTCAACGTTTCCTTGTACATTGTCTCTGACACATCCTCATTCCTGTCCTCGTTAGTGATGACTATGTCTCCCAAACGGACACTCTTACCGTAGTTGCGCAAGAAGCAAGTCGAGGTGCTCTATCCGTTGTATTTGGTTGATTATCACTTCAATGTTAGATAAAAACCTTTCAGGGTCGTGGTCGTGCAAGATGTTCATGTCCACTCGTTGATTCCGGCAGGCAAGGAACGCTTCAAAATATTGTTCAGCCTCAATACTGCGACGGATGGCTGCGAGCACAAGCGCTCGTGGGTAGATAGTCTCCAAGTTGCCTCGTGGCATCTGTAGAACAACGGAATACGTGGTTGGCATGACTGTGATGATCTTGGCGCCTCGTTCAATACTTCGACATCGCTCGTCCTTTTGTGGCTCATCTAGCGGTATCTCAAGCTCTGTGTCGTGTCAGCCTTTCCCTTTACGTGGATATTTTTTTCCACATACCATCGGCTCCAGCTAAGTGGACAAATTTGAGGAGATGTTGTGTCGTTGTGAAGATAAGGTGAGCCGACGTTACAGCAAACGAAGTGCAGTTGCGGACAAGGGCTCGGCCATTTGCGTAGAGAACACCGCTCTTAGTCAAGGCAAAGGCCAAAGTCTGCACTGATCAGTCTGGCTCAGAGCTTTCAGGATTGTTGCGCGTACCTGTCCCTCAACTGTGACAACCTTTACTTCTGGAACAAGCGAAGGAAACTTGTGCACCAATGACGTCTGTGGAGGCAGGTCCGTGCTGTCCCCATGTGTGTCAATGAGGTGCAATGATCCGTCCTGAAACTGGACATAGAGTGCCATGAAGTCTACGTCCGACAAAAGTGACGAAGCACCCACTGTCTCGATAATTGGTCCAAGTGGTAAGAGCTCGGGACCCTCAGATCTCCAAAGACAACTCTCCTCCTCATCCCAATTGTCAGTCAAGCAAAAGAGGCGTTCGTCACCAACAAAAGTTACGTGTCGTGGACACCTTGTCTTGATGACATTACTCTTCCAGAGCAGGATGGGTTTGGGGATAGGCCGCTTGCTCAGATCAAGGGCATACAAAGCGATGTCGTTATCTGAAAGGACAGCGACTTTGTTTCCAGTCTCGGAAACGGCGACGTCTATGGCTTTGTGCTCGAGCGCCAATGTGTGGAATGCCATAGGCGGAGGAACATTCGCCAGTCTCAAGGGAGTGAGCTTCAGTGACACTGCACGAAGTAAGCAGCGAAACGATTATTCATATCGACGACTTACACCCGTCTATTGATGCAACCATGCCGAAGTCGTTAGGTGGTGCAGTCGAGCCAGCTGCCACTACAGATGCGTACTCGAGTATCTGAAGCGCACCTACGGCTCTTGTGTCAGCTATACCATACCCACGTTCTAGGGTTGCTTACCTGAAGTAGACAAAGCGACTGAAAGCGGCTTTTCTGAATGCCATGTACATGTAGCAGTTGTAGAGGCTGGCTCCGGAAATACCAACTCCTGTTTCAGATAGTAGTGGTAGTTACTCATCGTCCATAATTGCACTTTATCCGGATGAGAGACAGCTAAAACATTAGAGTCGCTATTCCACTTCAGTTTCAGACCTACTGTCAGTCTTTCCAGCTCTTCGACTGTGAAGCGCAGGTCAAACTGTCCATGACGAAGCCCGTTGCGTTCGAAGAAAACGACCTCAATCTTGTCGCTCGAACGACAAACTCCTGCGATGAGGTTTCCAGACGGGCGCCAGCTCAAGGCTCCTTCGAGGCCATCCACGGGTTCGCTGACGCTGTCGAGTTGCCCTTCTCTTGAGTAGACACGAATCATGCGGCGTCGTTCTTCCTCGACCTTGTTCACAGCGAAGTACGCTCCATCGCCTCGCCAGCTGATGATTACACAACGGTCATCACATGGACTCAGGACACCTTCATCGATGGTCTCGGGTACGGTTGGGTCCTGCAATGCCCTTGCTCTTTTGCCTTTGAACTGTGTCTCCTTTTTCCCCCATCCCACAGAGACATGGCTTGATACGTTCACGTCCTCTGGTGCCAAAGTGACACTTGCGATGTTCTCAATGTCGCGGCTCATCAACAGGAGTGTGTCTGCGAGTGTAGTGATGGCGAGCAGTTCCTCGTCCGGTGACCAAGCGGCTGCTGAGATGCCTGTGTCGACGGACCCAACAATCTCGACCAATTCCTCATTTTGTACGGGGTTTTCTCGGACCAAAATAATGTCGCCGCCAGCTAAGATGAGACACGATGTCGAGGAGTCCGAAAAGTGGTGGAGGCTCAATATGGAGTCATGGGTAAGCGAGGGCAAAGGGCACGGTGCATCCCACGCTGCAATGCTCTCGAGTCGATCCTCTGCACCGTTGCGCGTGTAGTGTAGCCTCTTGAGTTCGATGGTCGCACGTGACTCGGATGGTCCAAAAGCGCATATCAGAGCGTTGGATGCGGGATCCCATGCAGTCGCTGTGATTGGTAGTGGATCCTCGCCGGAGAAACGCAACAGCGATCTCGCAACGATTTTGAGGTTGCGCATCAGTGCAGCAAATTACCTGAAGTGTGCGATGAAGTGGCGTGGTCGCACTTGAAATTTGGGCCAATGTTGGTGGTCGAAAATCAAAGACTCGCGCCAAGCCGTTCCCGCATCATCATCCACGAAGAGTCAGCCACTACAAAGTCGCGCGTTGATAGCCCAGCGTATCGCAGACCACTTCCAAGCGCCATTGAAGAAAAGTCTGGTGAAAGACTGCTTGGTTGGTAGCACGAGCCAAATTCGCGCCTCTTCTCGTGTCTGTATCAGATAAGAACACGCATGTATACCACGTGCACTGCTTGTAACGGGGCCGAGGGAGATAATTTCGGGACAGACAATGAAATTGATGCTGTGATGTCTAGTATAGCCGTGTGTGGGCCCTCCACCTATTCTACAAATGCCACATTCCCCGGGCGCCCGAATGATGCTCCTCAATTGCGTCGTGCTGCATCTACGGCTTGTTCTTCTTGGTTTGCCAGACTGTAGCGCGGTTGTTAGTCTTATGCCTCGGATGGTTGACGCTGGACAGAGAGTCTCACCAGCAAGGAGGAAGGGGAGAGCAAATCCAGTGCCTGTGTGCATTAGCCGTGGACTGCCCATCCATTGACGGGTCTTGGAGCTTACCCATGAAACCCCAGAACTTGAACGCAAAGCCCTTCTTCAGCGGGTCGAAGGGCAAGTTGCTGCGCGGGCCCTCGGGGTAGTGGTATGGGCTGGCCATCTGCGCGCGGGTCGACTGGAAGCCGCGGCGGGCGACGAGAGTTGGGGCCGAGGCGGCGCGGAAAGTGGCACGGGCGAGCATCTTGTAGTTGTCAGCGGGGGGAGCACAATTGGCGCGGTCGTCTGCGTACGTTGGCTGTGGTGATGGAGTGCAAATTTGGGGGGTTCTGGAGCTGGCGTGCAGCTCGCAGATGTCGGACCACCGTCGATGCGGTCTGCCAAGGAGCCATGACGCACGGACAACATTTTTCTGTACTGGTTAATCGCAACTTCTTTTCTAGCCAAGTCCAGTGTTCATCCGCTGCCGCTACATAGAGCAGAGAGCTCGCCCACGCAAACACGAGAACTGCGCCCCGATATTCGCCGCTGGATATTGGTACCACCTCACCATGGACGAGCTTTTCGACGTATTCGAGGACGGCGCGCAGCAAAATGCGGCGCCCAAAAAGAGCAAGAAGCGCCAGGCAAACGGTGACGTGAAATCGCCTGTGGAAGACGCACATATGTCCGACGCACCCGCCGAGGTGCCTGAAGCCGCACAGGAGGACAGCACCGAGAACGAGTCCGCACAAATCCTCAAGAGGCAAAGGCGCGACGAGGAACCCGAGCCAATTGTGACGGACGACTTCGAGACGGAACAGTCGCGTGAGGTCGCTGCCGCTGCGGGGCTTCAGGCGACTCAAGACGGACAGGCTGTCGTGCTCTCGCATCAAGTCCGCCATCAGGTCGCCCTACCACCCGACTACGACTACGTACCCATCTCTGAGCACAAGCCGCCACAGGAGCCTGCACGCACATGGCCCTTCACTCTCGATCCTTTCCAGCAGGTCTCGATTGCATCCATCCAACGGAACGAGAGTGTCTTGGTGTCTGCGCATACGTCGGCTGGTAAAACAGTCGTGGCAGAATACGCCATTGCGCAGTGCTTGAAGAACAACCAGAGAGTCATCTATACCAGTCCCATCAAGGCGCTCAGCAACCAAAAGTACCGCGAATTTATGGCCGAATTCGGCGATGTTGGTCTCATGACGGGTGACGTTACCATCAACCCTACGGCAACATGCTTGGTCATGACTACTGAGGTATGCTCGTGAGGTGGAATCCATGTCACAAAGCTAACAAATCCAGATTTTACGATCCATGTTGTACCGAGGCTCGGAGATCATGCGCGAAGTCGCCTGGGTCGTGTTCGACGAGGTGCACTACCTACGAGACAAGTCAAGAGGTGTCGTTTGGGAAGAGACTATCATCCTGCTGCCGGACAAGGTCCGCTACGTTTTCCTTTCAGCCACGATCCCCAACGCTATGCAATTCGCCGAGTGGATCACCAAGACGCATGGCCAGCCATGTCACGTTGTTTACACAGACTTCCGACCGACACCTCTACAACATTATTTCTTCCCACAAGGCGCCGACGGTATTCACCTGGTCGTCGACGAAAAGGGCGTGTTCCGGGAGGAGAACTTCCAGAAGGCCATGGCTTCGATTGCCGACAAGGCTGGCACCACTGCCGACGATAAGTTGGCCAAGATGAAAGGCAAAGGCAAGAACAAGAAGACCAATACCGGCGGAAATAAGGAGCAGTCAGACATCTACAAGATCGTCAAGATGATCATGGTGAAGAGCTACAACCCAGTCATTGTGTTCAGTTTCAGCAAACGGGAGTGTGAGAACTACGCCCTTTCGATGAGCTCCCTTGCCTTCAACGACGATTCGGAAAAGGCCATGGTTACAAAGGTCTTCAACAGCGCAATCGAGATGTTGTCCGAGGAGGATCGCGCCCTCCCCCAGATTCAGCACATTCTTCCCTTGCTACGTAGAGGCATTGGTGTCCATCACTCCGGACTGCTGCCTATTCTGAAAGAGACGATCGAGATTTTGTTCCAAGAAGGGTTGATCAAAGTCCTGTTTGCCACAGAGACGTTCTCCATTGGCTTGAACATGCCGGCCAAGACTGTCGTCTTCACCAGCGTGCGTAAGTTTGATGGTGTCGCGCAACGATGGGTGACTCCCGGCGAATTCATTCAAATGTCTGGTCGAGCTGGTCGCCGTGGCCTCGACGATCGTGGTATTGTCATCATGATGATCGATCATTCCATGGAGCCTGCCGTGGCGAACGAGATTGTTCGAGGACAGCAGGACAACCTAAACTCTGCATTCCATCTTGGCTACAACATGATTTTGAACCTGATGCGTGTCGAGGGTATCTCGCCTGAGTTTATGCTTGAGAGGTGCTTCTTCCAGTTCCAAAATACTGCTGGCGTCTCAACCCTAGAAAAGCGTAAGCCATTTCTGCGAGGATGATATAGTAGTGCTAACTCTTCTCAGAACTGCAAGCTCTCGAAAACGAGAGACTGAACACCATCATCACTGACGAAGCTACCGTCAAGGACTACTACAACCTAAGACAGCAGCTAGACACACACACCAAAGACATCCGCGATGTCATCATGCATCCAAACTACTGTCTGCAGTTTTTGCAATCGGGTCGAATGGTCAAAGTCAAATACCAAGACCACGACTTTGGCTGGGGTGCCGTGGTAGGATTCCAAGCTCGGAGAGCAAACAAGGGCGAGGTCATACCACCACAGGAGTCGTACCTTGTCGACGTGTTGCTCTCAGTAGATGCCAACACAAAGTACATACCTCAATCGTCGAACGGTGTGCTGCCGCCAGGCGTTCGTCCACCTCCACCTGGTGAGAAGGGCAAGATGGAAGTGGTGTCTGTAGTCTTGAACTGCATAGAGTCCATTGGCCACCTCCGCGTTTTCTTGCCAAGCGAACTCAAGACGACAGACCAGAAGAACAGTGTGCGCAAAGCTTTGGATGAGGTCAAAAAGCGTTTCCCTGACGGCATTGCTGTCCTTGACCCTATCGAAAACATGAAAATCGGAGACGACAGCTTCAAGCGCCTACTTCGGGTAAGTTTTCTTGCGCTACAAATATCGGACGTTGGCTAACTTGGACAGAAAATCGAAGTGCTTGAATCTCGCCTGCTCTCCAATCCTCTGCACAACTCCCCCAGACTTCCAGAACTGTACAGCCAGTACGCGAACAAGATGACAATTGGTGACAAGATAAAGAAGACCAAGAAGGAGATTGCGGACGCCCTCTCAGTTATCCAGTTGGATGAGCTGAAGAGCAGAAAGCGTGTTCTTCGTCGGCTGGGATTCATCGACGATGCTGATGTTGTCCAGCTGAAGGCGCGAGTGGCTTGCGAGATCAGCACCGGCGACGAGCTTGTACTCAGCGAGCTTCTCTTTAACCGCTTTTTCAACGAGCTCACGCCAGAACAGTGTGCTGCATGCTTGAGTTGCTTCATCTTCGAAGAGAAGAGCAAGGAGGTCCCAGCGCTCAAAGAAGAGCTGGCCAAGCCATATCGAGAGATTCAACAACAAGCTAGGGTCATCGCAAAGATATCAGTGGAGAGCAAGCTTACTGTGAACGAAGAGGAATATCTCAAGTCGTTCAAGTTCGAGCTTATGGACGTCGTATACGCATGGTCGAAGGGCGCGACCTTTGCTGAGATCTGGTATGTATTCCACGCCCTGTACTTGGTTGTATGAGACTAACCCTCGATCAGTAAAATGACCGACGTGTATGAAGGCAGTCTGATCAGGCTCTTCCGACGACTGGAGGAGCTATTACGCCAGATCGCCCAGGCCTCCAAAGTCATGGGTAGTGAGGAGCTCGAGCAAAAGTTCACCGCCGCTCTAGACCTCGTGAGGAGAGATCTGGTCGCAGCCCAGTCTTTGTACCTCTGAGGACCTGAAGGCCCAGCACACTGTACAACATGTTATGGACGAGTATTTGGTAGCATTTTCCATGGTCACTTCGACGCTCTGCAAGGTGAGTATGGCACTTGCGCGGCGTTATTTTCCTTTGGTGCAGCTCGAATCATTGCGCGTGCGCCACTTGACATACCAGTGTCTCAGGCGATGCGCAAGGACACTTTGGCGTTGCAGTTCCCAAAGGAAATGCCGCGCATTGTGCTTCCTGGATAGAAATTCACTAGGTCTGACGCTGCCTTCGGCGGTGAAAGATCCCCCCAGACAACATGTGCCTTTGATCACCGTGATGTCACTCATCGCACACTAGCGCGGTCACATGAGCGCCATGGTAGATGTGAATCCTTATGATGTGACATGAGATATACAACACGTTTCTCGGGAGCGTTTCGTAACAGCATTTAGAAATAATGACCTCGAAGTTGAGTGAAGATTGAAGGACAACGGTGCCTGGCTGGCTCGTAGCGCGGGTGGGTCTGCTGCATGGGCCAAGCTAGCCGGTTGGCCCGTACCTGCTCGATCCTGAATGGCAACAGCCCTGTCACAACATCACAACGCCCACACCACCTACCCGCAACTTCACCAACAAGTCCTCATCTGTCGGCCCGCCTTACCTATCCTCACCAGCGTACCCTGTGCGTATACAGTGCTGCGTTTGTGGGCCTCTTCAAGCATGAACGCCATCCACGGATCCTTCACCCCTCCGCATCTCTTAAACAACCGCCATTCTCCCACCAGGAACAGTACGTCAACTGCCAACAACTGCAACCCAAAACATAGGACACTCACTCACAACTGTTCACAGTCTACCCATCCTCCGCCATGACCGGTCGCAAGCGGAAAGCAGACGACGATGGCAGCAGCGACGACCGCATGAGCGCTTCGCCATCTATTTCCTCCGCCGAGCTGCCACGACAGCAGCCCCGTCACATGAAGCGTATGCGTACGAATCTCTCCGGCCGCCCGCTGCCTCTGCCACGCCTTCTCGAAACCCTTAGCGCCGACGAGATGCGGAACCTGCTGCAAAGCATCTGCCAGCGCCACCCAGATATTGGCAACGAAGTTGTGTCGACAGCTCCGCGTCCTAGCATACAGTCAACTCTGGAGGTCCTTTCCAAATATGAGTCGGCCTTCCAGTCGGCCTTCCCCTTCGGTGGACGGGCGTCATCGGACTATGCGTACAACCGCGTGCGGCAACAACTCATCGAATTGTTGGAGTCCCTGAAAGATTTCACGCCTCACTATCTTCCACCCAACGAGCAGCAGTCGGCCACGTCTCTCGCCTTCCTGGATGGTGCTACAGAGATTATTCATCGTCTGCCCAACTGGGACACCTATCAGCACAACCGGCACAAGGAGGAGGCATACGAGGAGATGGCCAAGGCGTGGGCGATCGTTTTCCGCGAGGCAGCCAAGAAGGCTGGTGGCATTCAACTCCAATATGGTGGCTGGGACCAGAAGATTGCTAAGCACAATGAACATTCTGGCGGAAAGATGCAGGAAGCCGTCAACGAGCTGCGCGGTGGTCTGGGCTGGATGGGTGCAGACGCACCTGCGCCTGCGGCCAGCGGGCCCGAGGATGCTATGTCGATCCGACAGCAACTGCTCAGCGGGAACTACGGCATGGGCTCATCCGCAAGCATTGGAGCGTGGTAGATCCACGGACCGCCCTACCCCAACGTCTGCCAACAGTCGTACGCCCTCGCACAGCCTACTTAGCTTGCCAACAGCTTTTTTTCGTATCCAGAGGCTGTCTACCAACCACTCCTTCGCACCCCCAACAGTCCTCCACAGCACGCCTTTACTCTGCGACATTGACGGCCGAATTTCACATACCAACGATACCATTGCAAGGAGGCAACCTCAGCTCTAACGACCTGCATAGCGATCCTTTGGCAAATACATACTTAACTGCATTGGGAGACTTGGATTACGGAGTTCTCGGCGTTTCTTGCACGTTCTTCGGGATCGTGCATTCCTTTTCGTTCATCTTGTCTTTTGTCATTGTTAATTTTAGGAATACTGTTCGGTGGGTATGTGTCCACTACGGCGGCTCTACGGGGGATGTGAGGTTGGCGGAATTATCGGTGATGCCTACGGGCTTTGCAGGAGTTGGAATAGACCGATGAACAAGAATGAAACTTAAAATTCAAGAACTCCGCATCTGGTCATTGACGTGTTGTACTGTGATGTGGTGTGGTATTCGCAACATCGCTGCAAAAGGTTCTTAGAACACTGTTGTCCAAACCGCCTCTTACACCAACAACTACATATCTCAGCTATAACAGAAACCGACTATATGCAACAGATGTCAGCCCATCCCACAGCCTGAAGCTGTAGGGTCTTGTAGTCGCAATCGATACCTAAGGAATTTTTGTAACCCTTTACACTATTGCACTGCGTTAAGGGTCGGGCTATTGATTTGCTCTCCTCCGTAGTTGATAGGAACGAAGTGAGTATAGTAGAGGGCTTGGGGGTATGAGGGTATACACTTTGATGCCTAGTGGATTTATGCGTATTTTGTGGTGTTCTCGAAGGAATAACAAGTCGCACCGTCGTTGGGCTCATGTGTTAATTGCACTCACTTGGTTACGCGCATTAGCGCGGTTGTGCTTCCCCTCTGACATCTGGCCGCAGTTTGCTCTGTCTGGAGTCGGATCACTTCTCACGCTCACTTCAGCAGTACGCTATTACCATTGCACTGTTACGATTTGGCGTCGTCGCTCCTTTGGGGCCTTACCCGTCCTTGCTCAATATCTTCTTTGCGCAGCCTTGCGGCTTGGTAGCAAACTCGACATGGCGGTCACCAAAAAATACCCGAGCATCAAGACTTCAATCCTCGTCGACGGTGTCACCCTTGAGGAATATGATGATGACGAAGCACGGACTAGTTCGAACACAGTTACGAAGTACATCGAGGCTATTTCTGGAGCCGAGTTCGCAATTCAGTGTCGTTTTGACAAACTGCCAGAGTACGATGTGCGAATTGACTTCTACCTGGATGGGCACTATGCCACTGCGAAATATGCGATGCTGGACGATTTTGAAGGGAGGTCTTCAACGAAGACATCTTACGGTGTAAGATCCAATGATGGCCACAAGTGGCAGGTGCACAACTACGCCTTCTCAAATCTCCACACTGGTACGTGTGTAGCCGAATCGCACGAATGAAAGCTAACCGTGGGAAAAGTCGACTCGGATGGCAGACCTGTGGCAAATCGGTTGATGAAGGACCTCAAGCACATGGGTGAAATCACGGTCCGGCTTCATTATGTCATCAATCCTAGGCCATCTCGTAGTGCAAAACCCAGCCCCAGGGTGAGCAGCTTGAAAGATGTTCCAGAGAAGGCCCTCAAAGGAAGAGCCTTGACCCATCAAACAATGTAAGTTGGCTGCTTCGTTATGGACCCGTGGTCGACGCCGCTCACGTCAGATCAGGTTCCGTGCTCCTAAGCCCACCTTGGCGAGCAAGGTCGTCACAACCGACTATGTGGATCCTAGGAAGATACCATTTACAACGTTCAACTTCAAATATCGTTCGAGACGTAAGCATAGTGTCTGATGATTAATAGAGGATTGCAGCTAAAAGCTCATATAGACGCACTGAAGGCTCTCATGATTGTTCCACGCAGCCCCAGTCCGGCGCCACTTGAGGACCGAGACATCGATACTTTGACTCCTGAAGAGATGAGACAGCTTCTGCGACGTCAGCGTGAAGGCGGGCAGGCACCTCAAGCCGTGAAGCAAGAACAAAGAGTCAAACAAGAACAAGGAGTCAAGCGCGAACGTACCAGAGGCCGGAGCAGCGCCACGTACGATTTCGATAGCGACGATGAAGTGTCGTTCGTCTCTGCGAAACTTCGAAGACACCCGATCGTTATCGGTGAGGACGGTGCGGAGACGATTGACTTGACTTGAAGCAGGGATAGTCGGGGCTGTATGTGTATGTTTCCGTTATTTGGAAGTAAGAGTAATAGAGTCTTAAGCATACATTCTGCTTTCTGGACTGGGGAACTTTGGGGCATCTGGAGTTCAAGGATCCGCGAGATACCACGATAATACTTTCTGCTACTAGTTCATGAAAAACGTCACGTATGAGGTGACTCTTCTTCCCTGCTATTTGTTTGATCCTAACATCGCATCAGTCAGGTAAGAGGCTCAGCCGAAGCTAGATCTTATCGTGCTTCACCAAGCATTTTCTCTCACCTTCGCAAATCTCATCTTGGCCGTGGGCGGCGCTACTTCTAATCTATTTCCGCAATTTACTTCTCGCACTCCCACACAAACTTCTCAATCACACCACCATCCTCCAGAACCATGGCCGTCATACCTGGATTGCCAGGCTTGCGGGTCACTGTCGAGGTCGCCGGCGAAGCCCTACCGGAACATGATAACGATACTACCGATACGGGTCACGCATATCTTCAGCACAGAACCAAAAAGTATATTGAGGCACCGGCAGGGGAAGCATTCGAGATTCGCACGCTATATCAAGCTCCTTTCGATCCGCCTCTGCCCATCCACGTAGAGGTAATGTTAGATGGGAACTACGTGTTGGCCCCATATTTTGAACGTGGTGGCAAAGACGGTTGCGAAGGCTACAAGTATGGCAAAGCGATGTTTATGGCAGAAGGGGAGGTCGAGACTCGCAACTTCTGCTTCTCTGCACTTACGATTGGTAAGGGCCTTCGCAAGTAAAACTCGTCGCAGGCTAACGTTGGGCAGAGGAACGCGATGATCCGGTCACGGAGGAAACAAAGCGCAAGATCTCCTGCATTGGTCAAATCACAGTGTATCTGTACTACATTGAGCGCCTGGACGAAGCAAGATCTACTGCTATACCTCGAGCACTTTTTGACAGCGACGAAGCACTCACTCACAAAGCGATGAAAGCGGCCGTCAGCCAAGGCGACTCGCTCACTTGTCAGACCAGGTGAGTTCCTCAGTGCGCGGACGAGACAGCACAGCTAACGCTCGATAGCTTGTCGGCGCCGGAGAAGCAAGCGGATGTTACATGCAACGAAGTCAAGACAACAGATGATGCGCCCTTTGCAGCATTTACCTTCTTCTACAGGTCTACAGGTACGCTTTCTCAACCTGTCGATAAGACATGTACTGACTCACCTCTCTCAGCTGCACTCAAGTCCCTCGGCATCATCGCGCGCACGCCTTCGCCCTCACAGGAGCCCGAGCCTGAGCCCAAAGACATTGAGTCAATGAACAAGGAAGAGCTCATGGCCGAGCTGCTTCGCATCCGGGTACGTTCCCTACCCACTTTCGACTTCCAGCGAAGCAGACTAACATGTACAATAGAAGGCACAGGACCAAGCAGCGCGGATCAAAAGAGAGCGGCAAGAGGAGCGCGAGGATAGTGCGGTCACGATAGGAGGTGAGGATGATGAGGTCGAGTGGATCGGGTCTCAGCCAAGCAAGAGGCAGCGTAGAAGTCCGGGTGAGGATGATGAAGTTGTGGACCTTGAGGATTGAGCATACGAGCAACATGCGATCTTGGAGAGTGGTTATGCGAGATTTTCAGTTCACATGGATATACTTCATAAGAGAGCTTGGCACAGACAAGGCATTTTTACAGCATCGGGCAGGTGCTAACGCTCTGACTGACGAAACGTAGTCGGTCATTAGCGTTCTACATATTAATTTCGCTTCTCAACATCTTCTTACACTTCGCTTTTTTAATTCATACTGGTTTGGAATTCCCTGCACTAACGACGGGACCTACATTGTGTTTGATCTTTTGGGCATCGATGGAAGGAGCCGCCCACGTGGAAGGTACAACGCATAGCATAACCTCACTCACATCACCGTAAGCTCATCTATTCGTCCATTTCGATATGCAGGGTCTGCTCATTTGTCTCTCACCTTTACTTCGCGATCCGGCTTCACCTCAACTTCAACGCTTCCCGCAGAAACGCTCTCGCCAAGGTGAACTAGCCTGCACATCGCATCTCTCCGATACTGCGATCATCTTCCCATCCTCTTCAACCTCACCTCTAACACCGCTACGCGATTATTGCCATCCGCTCCATCCCCAAACGTCGACATGGCTGTGCTCGACGACGTCCCGGGCCTGGACGTGCAGATTGCAGTAAACGGTGAAGTTCTCCGCGAACACCAGGACCGCGATGCCAAGTTATCTGAGAAGACCGTCGAGCGATACGTTGAGGCTCAATCCAACACGAACTTCGAGATCCGATATGCGTTCAAGAAAGGCTTTCCGGCTGACAGACCTGTCTCCATGATCGTCACTATCGATGGCAAGGATCTTGACGAGCCCATCATTCGTCCATATGAGTTGTTTGAAGCAAAAGGACACACGAGTCGCGGTCCGATCTCCCAGCAGGGTGGGAAGTGGGTCGTCCAGCCGTATTGCTTTGCACCCATTGATATCAGTAAGCTCTCCCAAATGCATGCATGCAAACAGGTTTCTAATATCGGATAGGAGAGTGCAGTACACCAGCTATTTGCGACGTCCCCAAGACAAAACTGCAGACCGTTGGAATCATCACTTGCGGCTTCTACTTCCTCAATAACCCTAAGCACAACACAAAGCTCCTTGGTGTGCACAAGAAGCTAGATGTATTGCCGCCTATCAGCGAGAAGGCAATCAAGGGAGAGGCTCTGTCTCATCAAGCGATGTCAGTAGCCAAGATCCGTCACTTTGAGACCTTCAACTAACGTGATACAGCTTGGGCAAAACTGAGTGTACAGAGGAGGTGGAGTACTTCAACGCTGATTACGCCGATAATGGAGAGCCTTTCGCAACATTCCACTTCTACTATCGCTCGCTCGGTAAGCTTTACTGTTATGCACGTCGCCTCTTCCTCATGCTAAGAAAGCAACACTACAGCGGCACTGAAAGATCTTCACATCATCGAGCGCACTCCCGACCCACTCGACCTTCTAGAAGGCGACGACACGCCAGTCGGTCAGATGAACAGGGAGCAGCTCGAAGCCATCGTTCGGCGTTTCAGGGTACGGTACCCACGTCTTTTTTTGCTTCTACACTGACACACATCTAGGAACGTGACGACACCCGACTGCGCATGAAGCGCGAGCGCTCATCCTCTGAGACTCTCGTCGGCGATAGCGATGATATTGGCGATCGATATCAGCACAGCGATCCGGATCCAGACCTTCTCGAGCTTCGTGCGGTCGATCTGAGAGCTGAGAGGAAGGCGAAGCGCGTGAGGCAATTGCCGACGCCGGAGACGGAGGTCATTGAGCTTGACGACTGAAGTTCTGTAGCTCATGATCGGAAACGGGTCGTATAGATGATCAGAAAGTGAGGTATCACCCGCACTGCAATAGCAGAAGGCGATACCACTGATGGGGACATTCTGGCGCATTTTTGGAAGGAATTTTTGATGCTCGGCGCGGTATTCTGATTGATCTAGTAAGGAAGGAGCAAAAGCGGGTCTATCTCTCGCTATTCATTGCTATATCTATGCATGCATCTATCTCAGCGTATGACGAACGGGTCATTTCACACACTTCTCTCATACAGAAAGAGCTTCATGCCTGCTGCGATGGGCACGTGTCATAGCGGAGGTTGCGCGTGCTTTCCCTCCAACAGAGCAGGCGCGCTCCTGCCGAGAATTTGCTCGCTGCGTCGCCATCACGGCTTCCACTCCTTGCACGAAAGTGCACGATCTCTCCTCACTCTCACACGGACTACCCACTTCACCTCCACCGTGCATCTGCACTCTCAACCACTCCCGGCCATAATCAGGAACAGACTTGTGCCCACGCCAGCCGGAGTACAATAGTACAATCACATGGTGGTCCATCCAAACTATTCAGGGCTTTCTGTCGAAGTCGCCGTTCATAGCCAGCCACTTGCGGAGTATAATGGTGATTAGGATGAGAACGAGGAGCTGCCATTGAAGACGGTGACCAAGTACATACCGGCAGATTCTGACACAAACTTCTCTCTACCGTACACGATTCCGAAAGACCTCAATGGCCCATTTGGTATCCGAGTCAAGCTTATGGTGGACGGCAAATACCTCTTGTACAAGACGCACACCCACAAAGACATCGCACGTGGCAACGTTAGAGGGGAATTCGTATGGATGACTACCAACACCCAGCAGGGGACTTACAAGCAAAAGTTTCGCTTCTCTGCATCGGTAAGCCTTCACCCCTCTCTTGGCTCATCTATGGCTAACCATGCGCAGACGAAAACGCTGCAGACCTTGACAAGCAACTATTCGGTCAGCTCAAGATTGTTGGGGTACTAGCTCTGAAGCTTGAATTCATAAACATCATCACTAGGGAGCAATGTAAGCCGAAGCCACCAGGAAATTTCGATCCCGCTCAGAAGCTTCCCTTCATTGGAACACTGCCCGAAAAGAGCTTGAAGGGGGACGCGAGGTCCCATCAAGCAAGGTAAGCTCCTAAAACACCTTTGATGCTTCGCCTCTAATATTTGTCCGCAGCTTCGATGCACCAATATTCCACAGCGCCTGTGTGCCTAAGGAGGCTGGTTCTAGAGAAGTGTTCCACACAGGAGAGCCGTTCGCCATCTTTCAATCCAAATACCGCTCTCTAGGCAAGTCTGTCTGCAGTATGACAGGCTGAAGCAATGCTTACATATAACAGCTGCTTTGAGAGCCCTTCGACTTCTTCCCCGTACACCGACTCCACCACCGCTTTTGCTGCCCCGGCGTGGTCCCAAGGCCAAGGCGAGCTCACAGTAGAAGAGCGCAACGGGGGCTTCGAATGTTAAGCAGGAACGTATGTCTCGGGCCAAACGTGAGGCTCCCGTATCTGACGATGAAGTGGAGTTTGTGAGCGACAAGCGCGTAAAGGGCCCGCCGAAGGAGAATGATGAGATTATCGTGCTGGATTAAAGGGTCAATAGCGTTGTTCCAACAGAAAGGTGGAAAATTATGATGGCTATGAGAGGAAGGGGATTGTTGTAGTTACGCATGAGATGTCAGCAACGCAACGCGCATGTGATACGGGCACAGTGTGTAGAATACACCGGCACACCAGGCAGCGGCAAAATTCGTGTTCGCTCCACACACGTGCAAAGTGATCTAATAGTCTCTAGGAGCGCACTAATAAGTTTATATAGAAACCTGAATATATTCAGTGCTATAAGATATCTTGTCCGGTTTTGCAAAAGGTATTGAACATATTCAGGCTACCTCTTTCACTCTTCTCGTTCGGTGAAGGCGGACAGGAATTTTGCCAGGGCCTGGTGGGCACGGCGCCTTGATGATGTCAGCGCGGTAATTGAAAATGATCGACTTTTACAAATTTATCTGCAGTCTTTCGTGAATATACTGAGTAGGAGAACCAGACATGAAGGACGTCTTGGACAAGCTTTCCGTCATCACACGCTTTCGCCGCTCCGTAGACTAGACGACAACACCACAGCGTCGATGTACCGTTTTCCAAATTCAGGAATGCAAATCAATTTAATCATTGAAAAACGCCTCCAATTCTCGATAGTATCATTGCAAATGCCGCGATCTGTGCTACCTTGCGCTTATTCCCGGCGTTGTCTACGTCAATTTCGTCATAGGCGTCAACGTCACAATTATGAATTTGAGAAACACGTACAAAGGCACAGGGTGTATTTGACCAACATACCCACTTGTCAGTGTACATGTACATGTAGCTCCTCGTTGAGATCTTTGCATACCAAGTCGGATTAAACAGAACATCAGATACTCCCCGACCATGGACCCAAACAACCCCAATCGCAAGATCCGCAAAACACCACAGTACGCACTCTACCAGCGCGAGAACTTTTGGAAAACAAACAATGGCCAAGTTCCTCTTTTCAACACAGGTCCGCCGCCCTCAGATCTGCGTGGAGTATTGTAGAACTAACACGGGATGCAGATCCAGCCCAGCTCGAAACCCTCGCAAAAGCTGCCCTCACGCAGAACGGCTGGCTCTACGCCTCTTCAAATGCGGGCTCCTCTCATACGCATGCAGCGAATCGCCAGGCCTTCTACCGTCACCGCATCGTGCCCCGCATGCTCGTCGACACGAACCAACGCGACACGGCGACGCACATATTCGGGCACAAGGTACCTGCGCCCATCGGCTTCGCGCCCATTGGGATTAATAAAATCTACCACCCGGACGGCGAACTGCCCGTCGCCCGAGTCGCCGGCGAACTGGGACTGCCATATTGTCTCAGCACGGCGGGCAGCCAGCCTATTGAAGCCGTCGGGCAGGCCAATGACGCGGGCGCACGAGGGGAAGGAGACGGCGTGCGATTCTTCCAACTCTACATGCCGCACGACGACGAGCTTACGCGGTCGTTGCTGCAGCGCGCGGCGGACAGTGGGTTTACGGCGTGCATATTGATGCTGGATACGTGGCAGTTGGGTTGGCGACATGATGATGTAGCGACCTCGAATTACGCATTTTATCATGGGCGCGGCGCGGACTTGGGGCTGAGTGATCCGGTATTCCAAAGGAGGTTGAGGGAGAAAGGGATTGATCCTCATACCCAGCCGAATGAGGCGGGTGCGATGTGGATTGATAACGTGTGGCATGGGCGCGCGCATACGTGGGATAAGGCGGTGTGGGCCATGGAGTTGTGGAAAGAGATATCCGGTGGGAAGCCGTTTTGCCTCAAGGGGATTCAGAGTGTTGAGGATGCGAGGATGGCGGTGGAGAGGGGGTTCGATGGGATTGTCGTCAGTAACCACGCGGGACGGCAGGTTGATGGGGCGGTGGCGAGTCTGGATTGCTTGGAGAGGATTGTCGATGGTGAGTTGCTACACTTCAGTGACCATGTGTATGTGTTTGCTAACCTATGGGCCAGCGGTTGGAGACAAGATCTACATAATGTACGATTCTGGCGTTCGCTCGGCATCCGACGTTTTCAAAGCGCTAGCACTCGGTGCGAAATTTGTCTTTGTTGGACGCCTATGGGTCTGGGGTCTGTCCATCATGGGCGAAGCTGGTGTCAGACATGTCATGCGAAGTCTGCTGGCGGACTTGGACATTCTCATGAACGTGGCTGGTTTCCAGAACATTCAGCAGATTACAAGGGATGCGTTGGAAAAGGGACCCGAAGGACTACCCACTGCCTAATGTTGTTAGCCAAACTGTGAGCCAAGAATAACATGTGAAGATTGGAAAACCTCTCCGGTAGACCTGCCTGATCCTAGACGAGCGAACCGCGTGACGTCACTATCGTTCTGATATCTGGCTAA